GGCGCCTTCCCCAGGGGGGCCGGGGTGGGGGCAGGGCAATTAGCAATCAGGCTGTTTACTCGGGGCTGAAGGGTGACTCCGAAGCCCTGCTGGCCAGGCACTGGGGAGGAACCCCACAGTGTCAGGGGCACAACCGCAGGCCAAAGCCCTGCCACCTGGCCACTGGCCTGCCCCCTCCTCAGTCCACGGCTTTGGAAACAGGCCCAGGAGGTGAGGGTGAGGGCGGCCCGGGGCTCCCGGGAGGGAGGCGGTGCGGAGCAGCCCCCAGGCTGCCCTGGCTTCTGGCCAGAAACTTCTCAGTGACACGAGGCAACTTTCTTCTCCTGACGATGCTCTCGACCTTTTCCACCTCGTGGCACACAGAAACAAATCGCTGAAATTGGGCAGAACGCCAAAAATATACGTTCTGCCAGTCTGGCAAAAAGTATGTGCAATTTTGATTGGTTTCCAAAAAATAATTATAGTAAATAGCTACCCTTTTTTCTCTAAAGTGACTTCTCAAAACAGCAGGTGCCTCCCTGGCTGGTGTGGCTCAGTAGATTGAGCTCCAGCCTGAGAAGCTCATGGTTTGATTTCCCGTCAGGGCACACACCTGGGTTGCAGGCCGGGTCCCCAGTTGGGGGTGTCTGAGAGGCAACTACACACTGATGTTTCTCTCCCTCTTTCTCCCTCTATTCCTCTAAGAGTAAGTAAATAAAGTCTTTAAAAAATTTTTTTTTAATTTACTTACTTAGAGAAATAGGAAGGGAGGGAAAGAAACATCAGTGTGTGGTTGCCTCTCAGACACCCCCAACTGGGGACCTGGCCTGCAACCCAGGTGTGTGCCCTGACTGGGAATCAAACCGGTGACCCTTTGGTCTGCAGGCCAGTGCTCAGTCCACTGAGCCACACCAGCCAGGGCTAAAAATGGTTTTTGAAAAAAACCAGGTGCTGCCCAGACAGGTGAGGCTCAGGAGGCTGGGCGTCATCCCACAAAGCAAAAGGTTGTCAGTTCAGTCCCTGGTAAAGGCACAAGCCTGGGATGTGGGCTTGGTCCCCGGGAGGCAACCAATCAGTGTCTGCCTCTCTTTCTGCTCTCTCTATAAACAAACCAACCGACAAACCAAAAAACCCTAAAACATCAGGCGCCTGTACACATCCAGGAGAAATTCAGGTACAAATACCTAGCCAATCAGAGGCAGCCTTGCTACGCGTGCACAGTAAGATGGTACATGGCCTATCGGTTTGCAGTTCACGACAGGGCCCTCGCACCCAGCGGCCACTGTCATTGGTTCACTCGCAGGTCCAAGGAACGAGAGGGCGCTGCCCCCCGACTGGGCAGAGGCTGCGTGTTTTAAAAATCCCTGTGGCGCATCAGCTGAGTCCCGGGCCCAAGGGACGGAGGGCCCTGGGCAGCTCCCCCAGCCTTTGCTGGAAGAGGAGTCGGCGGGGCGCTGGCCAGGCCACCTGACCCCCCACCCCCCGACCCCCCCCCCGGCCCAGCCCCAGGGGGCGGGCCTGGTGGTGGAGGGCTCCCCACAGCAACACACCTGAGTGGAAGGGCACTGGGCACAAGCCCGGGCCAGCGGGCCATCACCAAGATGACACTCCCTTAGGGTGGGATTTGGTTGCCTCCGAGGTGTGTGGCAAAGAGGGCATTTGACCCACCCGTGGGTGCAGCCAGAGCCTCCAGCATCAGTTTGGACCAGAAGTCACCCAGGGGCAGTGGGCTCCCAGGGAGGCCAGCCAGTCCCCACATTGGAACAGGTGAGTCTACCAATCCCAGCAGCTCATTACATGAGCCTTGCAAGTCAGGTGGGAGGACGCTCCCTTCTTCCTGTCATTCCTGCCACGTGTGGTGTCCCTGCCTGGCCGCTGACTGCCGGCGGGTTCACACAGGTGCCGGGTCCGGTCTGTCACCCTCTGCTTCACCTGGTGGGTCAGCTCCAGGCTCCCGCCCGACTCCCAGGGTTTCCTCGGGCAGCTGGTTCCCCCACAGCTGTTCCCTCACTGAGACGCAGGGACGTGTCACGGCACAGCCAATCCTTCCCTGCAGACCTGGGCCCGCGCCCCGGGTCCTCTGCCCGTGGCTGTGACGTGCCCCTCACACCTTTCTAAAGACCAGTGAGGGATCCAGTTCACCTGACAAAGTTTTGTTTCACCCGAATTTGGCAATTATTCTGGCAAGTGACCACCACCATTTCCTAACAACGCTGAGCGCTTAGCTTCGAGGATCCCTGGCAGCCAGGCAGGTGCAGGTCCCCGATCCTCAGCCCACGACCCTGCTGCCGTCACCAGGCCTGCTGACTGCGCAGTGGCGCACTCCACTGGCTCCCACATGGGGGCCCACGCTACCCACTCCCCCCGCTCCACGAAGGTATCTTATCAGAGAGGCCACCCATGGCTGCCACCTGGCTGCCACCACCCTCCTCCCTGTTCCCGACACCGCACATCCCTCTGCTGGCTGCCGGACCCCCACCGGAGAGCGAGCTGGGGGCAGGCCCTTGCCTCCCCCGTGGTGAGCATGACCCAGACATTTCTGTGAACTAAACCGTGACGGCACGAGTTAGTGGATGAGCAAACAGGTGAATTCACAAGTGTGAGGGAAGGAGTGCAGCAGGGGAAGTTTGCACGCCTGGGAAGGCTGGGCTTTGAACTCTGTGGCCACGCCCCGTGGTCCCCGGCCTCACCTGGTCGCCCACCTTGTGGGCGATGACAGTGGCTCCCTGCTCCAGTTCGGCCTCACTGAGTGGGCGGATCCGGAGTGCCACCTGTGAAGACACCTTGAGGCTGCATCCAGGCCTCGGCTTCTCGTCCCTTCCCTTCCCCGCTTCGCCCCCCAACTCTCAGAGAGCTGAAGGTCAGGGAAGCCCCCACTGCTCTGGGCCCTCACTTCTGAATCAGCAGCTCAAGTCCCATGGGACACTCAGAGTGCCGTGACTAGTCATCACGGCGTTGAGTCTCACCTGGGGAGACTGGGCACTCGCTCACCCATGGCCCACCGGCTGCTGAGTGTCCCACCCCTCCCCTTGCCCCACTGCCCTCAGAGTAGACACAAGGGCCCCAGGGCCTTCCTGCTGCCCCCTGCCCTCCCTGATGGACCCCTTCTGTGAGATGCCGACAGCTCCTCCCTGGGAGCGGCCTCTGGTTTGGGGCAAGGCCGAGGCCCCGCCCACTGTCACCCAGCAGGTGGGTCTCGTCAGGCCTCGCAGGGCCCAGAGGGGGCCAGGGGGTGGGGCCTACCCCACCCCACCAGGGGTCCTGGTCTAGGCCTGAGTCAGTCGTCTGGGAAGGGAGAGTCGGGGGCAGGGGGTGAAGGAGGTGTCTGGGAAGGGGTCACTTCGTCCTGAGAAAAGACAGGGAGGGTCCTGCACAAACTGGGCACTGGGGGCAGTGGGCCTGGAGGCAGCTCGGGGCAGGGAGGGCAGCCTTGGGCACACAGAGCCCTGCCGAGGCCACCACGCAACCAGAGGGACCCTCACCACAAGCTGCTGGTCCCTGGGTTCCATCTCCTTCACTGGCGGGGCTGTCCCAGGCTGGGGCGGGGCTGGTGGTGGGGAGGGAGGGTCCGGTCACAGCTCCAGGCTCTCTACCGGCCAGCAGCCAGCCCGTGGAGGCCTGCCTGGCTGGCAGCAGCCCCGCCCCGCTGACGTCAGCGGCCCCAGGAGTCCCACAGGTCCTTTAACTGCCTCAGGGACGCCAGCACTGCCCAGGTGCTTTGGGTGAGCCCTGAACAGCTGGGTGGCCCGGGCCAGATGGGCTCCGGCTGGCTGCACACCTGGCACCTAGTTACAGCCCCAGACACGGTCCAGCCTGTGTGTCTCTGCACTAATCTGACGCCATAGCAACCCTTGGGCTCCTCCCCACTACCTCCCCTTTCACCACCTCGCCTGCTCTACAGGTGAGCCTGCCTGAGACCTGTCTGGGCCACAGCCACGGGGCTTTTCACCACGAAGGAGGGTGATGCTCAAAGAAACATTTTCAGCTGTGATCACTTGCCCAGACGAATTTCTAAAGCAACCTTGCAATGACCTTTGGTTCTGACAGTGAGAGTGTGGCCACCGCCCCCTTGCCCACACCACCACCCTGCCAGGGCCTGAGCCCAACTTCTCAACACCCCGCGAGAGCGGGTGACGTCCTGGTGACACTTGGATATGAGTCGGAGACAGGTCCCCACTGTGGGGCCGAGGGCAGCAGAGGCCTGCACCCCTGCAGTGCAGCCTCAGGCTGGGGCTGCTAGAGTGCCCAGAGCACTCTGAGGCCCACCGGCCAGGTGGCTGAGACCATAGGGGTGGTGGCTCGGTGGGCGGGGGCTGCCTCACGTTGGGCCCCAGGACTCCTCGCCAGGCGACCAAGAGCAGGGAGGGAAGATGGCGCTGTCCCCAGCCCTGGACCCCCTGGCTCCACGTGAGCAGACCCCTGGCACCCAGCATCCACCCCACCCCCACAGGTTACACACACCCCAGGGGGCCAGCCCCAGGAAGCCCATCCCTGCAGCACAGAAGAGCTCCCGCTAACGGCATCTCAGGAGTCTCCTGCTCAGTGTCCCACGTCACAAGGAGCAGGTGCCAGGTTGTGCTTGAGACATGGGTCTGAGGACACTGCTGGAAGTCTGTGCCCTCCTGCTCACTGGCACCAGGCTGGGAGCACCAGGTCTCGGCACACCAGGCCTGCAGAACTGCAAAGGAGTGGCCACAGCAGCGTGCTGACCAGCCAGGCACAGCCAGGAGCAGACACTTAGGGCTCAGGGGACCTGGCGCCAGCGGGCTGTGGGGGATGGGCCTGTGGCCCACAGCCCACAGCCCCAACAGTCTCTGCAACCCAAGGACAGGGGCAGGAGCTGAGGTGGGTGGGGGGAGCTCTGGGGACAGGTCAGGGGAGAGGGGGAGGGGAGGGAGAGAGAGAGAGAGAGAGAGTGTGTGTGTGTGTGTAAAAGCCCCACCGAAGCCAGCCCTACGGGGCAGGGAGGAAGGCGCCCCACCCAGGCCCCACTCATGCTTAAAGACAGGAGGATAGATGTGTTCAGTCAGGTCTGCTTTTATTTCTGCGTTTGGCCCCCGGGCGTCTGCACTGCCTGTAGGCGAGGACCAGGTGCTGCAGTGCCTGGAGCAGGGACACCACCGGGCGCTGCTCCCTGGCTGGGGCCCACGCCCACAGGACAGCAGGTGCCACAGGCAGGCCTCGTGGTTGCAGGGGGCAGCTGTGCCGCCGTACCACACAGGCGTCTCAGTAACAAACACTGGTGGTGTGACTCAAAAACCAAACAAGAGACCGCAAGCAGCGCCTGGACACCGCCCCCGGGGCCCGGGGTGAAGGCACGACTGGAGACGGGGCCTCCCGGGGCGGTCAGTGCGGAGCGGGAAGCACGGGCACTCGGGCCGGCACAGGCCGTCTGCAGGGACACCCCAGCTCCGGCACTCGGTGACACTGCAACAAGGGAACACGGCTGTGTGTCCGGCACTGGGCCCCAGCCTGGCACACCGGGGGCCCCACAGGCAGGCATCCCCAAACCAGCCCCTCCTGGCGGTGGAGGCAGCCCCCAGCCACTCAGTCTGAGGTTGAGGAGCACCATAGCCAAGGACGACAGGAGTCACCTGTCCTGCCTGGACACTCAGTGACCCCTCATCCCCACAGCCGCCTGCGCCGAGAAGGAGCGACCCTCTGGGCCCTGCCCTGTCACCTGGGCAGTGCTGGAGCCCTGGCCACAGGGACTAGCCGTCACAGGCTCTCGCCTTCTCACCTGACCCTGCTCCCTCCACCCCCGAGTCCCCCGGTGAGGGGGTGCCAGTCCTGCCCCAGACATCACAGCTCACATGTGAGGATGTTGTAACCTTGAGAATAAGACCTCGGCTTCCTCGAACCACCTCAAACAGGACGTGTTCCAGCTTGTGGGTCAGCCACAGGGCGCCTGCTCCCCCCACCCCCCTGGAAGGCACCTCACCACAGTGCTCTCGGTCACTCCTGACTGCCGAGAGGGATGACTTCTTCAGTGACGAAAAACTCGATGGTCTCCTCCTCCCAGTCCTCCACGTTGCTGTCCAGCTCATCTGTGTCCACGCCTGGAAAGGTAGGAGGGGCTCCAGTGGGCGGTGGGGTGGCGCGATGCCCCTGGCTCCGGCACCAGGGACACCCGTGTGCAGGCAGTGCGGGGCGTCTCTCATCAGCGGAGAACCGTCACATGGCACGGATGCTCGCCGGGAAACCCACACGCGGACGCACAGGAAGCAAAGCGCTGTCTCGCACACGCCCCGAGTCTCCCTCTGCGCAGGCTCACACGTTACCTCCGCGCAGCTCCAGGCGCTCGCTCTTCTGCTGCAGGTACCGCTCCTGGGCCATCTGCCGGTACTTCCGGAAGTCCTCCATCATGGTCCGTCTCCTCTCCACCAGTTCCTGGCACAGGGCAGGGGTCACAGGGTGACACCTAACTCTCACCCTCACCATGTCTCGCAACCAACACGGAAACCTGTCAGCAGCCACCCCACACAGGACGGCCTGAGGACACCCCTTCCGCAAGGCCACCACGGAGGAACCGGCAGGGGCGGGGGGCCTTTCTCATTTTTCTTCCCCTCACTGCCCCACCCCCAGCGCTGTGTCTGAAGAGCCCAGTTATGGCCCAGCTGCCACAGCCCCTCCCTGTGCATGAGCACGTTCTGTGGACAGTCATGCCCCCACCGGACGCGCCCCTCTCTGCCAGGGGTGGCAGGGACTCTCTGTGGCACGTCCCCAGGGCGGAGACAAGGCTGACCTTCGAGGCTTTGGACTGGCTCAGACGATCCTTCTGTTCAAAGATCTTGGAGTACTTCTTCAGGTCTTTTCGGATTTGCTGAAACCAAGACAGGCCACTCAGGACTTGCACGCACAGGCCAGCCCCTTGAGCCCGACCACGGACACGTGACCCACATGACATGACACAGCCTCCTGGGAGCCCTGCTGGTAAGTCCCCAGGCTCCCAGCAGACCCAAAGGGGGGGTCTTCTAGTCCCAATGCCCCGTTCACACAAACTTCCTAGAAATGAGGCCAGCGTGACCTGAGACTACCTGAAATCCCTGGGGCCTGTCCCCAAACTGTTCTTTTCCATTGGGTTACTGTTGTTCGAGTACCTCTTCAAAGAACCACCAAAATGTCACCTTTCCACTGCTCACTCATTACCACCCTGTTGTCACCGTAAGCTGGGGTGGGGGGTGTTTTTTTTTTTTTTTTTTGCCAGACCTTTATCTGTTCCTGGCTGAGGAGCGTCGGGGGCCGGGGCCGCCACAGTAGCTGGCAGAAGCGGTCCTTGTTGTTCTTCTGCAGGAGGCGCCCCTGGAAGGTCCACAGCCAGTAGGCATTGTCCACCTGCAAGGGACAGAGGTCGGAGGCGGCGCTCACAGCACTGGCCCTGGCCCACGCCAGGGACCGTAACCTGCGGCAACAGCGGGACCAGAGAAACACCCAAAGACCTCCGCCTTAGCACCCAGCCATACCCAGCGGAGGACAGCAGTAAACCAAGGAGACCCACCGCCAGGGTCCTAGACCCCAGGGCGCTGCACACGCAGCAGCTCCGACAGTGCTGACCACCCACAGGCTCTCATGGAGCCACAGCGGGAAGCAGTGCGGCCACCAAACCCAGCCGCACTCGGCTGACGCCATCTGTGACAAGAAGTTCTTGGAGAAGGAAGCAGTGCCCTCCTTTCCCCGCTGTGACCCCCGTCTCAGACCAGCACTGCGGTGGCTGCTGCCATGAGCGCTGCGGGAGGCCTCCCCTAAAGCCCAGACGCAGGCAGGGCCCGCCGGTCCTGGTTGCAGTGCCAAGGTTTGACTCAAAACATTGTCAGCAAGTGTATCTCTGCAGCTTCACTCCACTGGACAACACCTGTCCGTGACTTTGACCTCCCCGCTTGAGAGGAGGTGTCACGCCAGGACCACATGAGCAAACCAGGAAGCACTTCCCCTCCACACACACACTCCATGCTCTGGCGCAGAACACGCGGTGTGGATTCATCTGGAACTGCAGGGCGGGCTGCAGATGGGGAACCCGAGCAGCCTGGCCACTGTGGGCCGAGACGCACGCGGCCTGACACAGGAAGGCCCGACCTGTGCACAAGGCTGAAGCTCCCTCAGGAGCTCGGGCCACAAGCACAGGAGGATGGGGTTGCGATGGTGGGAAATCAACACGCACATAGTGGAAACCACACTTCGGATTTTGAGTTTTGGCTCTCGCCCCAGACCAGCGCTACAAAGCCCATCCTCTCAGTGGTTATGGGGACGTGTGTCCCTCGCACTGAGGAGCGCCCGTACTGAGGCGGCCTAGGCTGGGCACGGAGAGTCCCTGAACAGGGGCAACAGCAGCACCTGCCTGCCCACTGCCCGCGGCCACGGGGCGAGCAGGCGGTGCTGCACTGGGGGTTCCTTCCAAGGCAACGAGGAAGCTTCGAGCCTGGCCGCGCCCGGCTTCCAAAGAGCGAGGTGGCTGGGCCCCGTACCTTATGGCTCCACCAGGACACAGAGGTGATGACGTAGCGGCCAGTCGGGTCCCACTCCACGTCGGAGGCCATGTAGTGCTCGGCGATGTTCATGACGGTGCAGTCCGAGGCGTCCACAAACGCCAGAGCGCCGTTCATGCTGCGGACGCAGACAGACGGGCCTCGGTGGGAGCCCCACTGTGGGTGGTTCTCCCACCCCCATGCCGGCCCGGCCCTGGGGGAGGGCCCAGGCACCGCTGACCACCCCCGCTGTTGATGTGGGAATGAGAGGCCGTGGTGACACTGTCTCCAGGGACAGGCTCTCTGTGCCTACAGGACCCGAGACTACAGGAAGCATCTCCAACCAAACAGGGCTGGGCGGCTGCAGGGCCCTCACTGCCCAACGCTGTGAGAGGAGCAGCTGGGCAGGGCCATCGGGCAAGGGAGGGGCTGTGTTTGCACCCTTGTGGTCATGCCCTCCACCCCCCAGGGAGGCTCGCCCTGTCTGATGGCACCTGAGGGCACTGTCCACTTTAAGACATGGGCTTGACCTGGGACACAAGTTCATTGGAGGTGGTCCTGCCTGACCTCCTCTCCCAGGGCCTGCGAGGTGAGCCCAGCAAGTGCCCACTTTCCTCCACCTGGTCCTGACCCACATCTGGGGAGCACAGTCCTCCCGCCCCACGTCTGTCCCATCGACCGAAGCTGGGGTGACCCTCCAGTGAGAGAACACTTAGGTTCTAGAGGACTCAGCAGTGACATCACTCGGAACCCAGTGCAGAAGACAAGGTCAAGGACAGGACAGCAGACACCCACCTCCTGAGGCCAGCCAGCACCACAAACTGGCCCTGGGGGCTCCAGAAGATGGTGTTCGCCTGCTGCTTATCGAACGCTTCTGGAAGGGAGGGGAGCGCCTGTGAGAGCTCACACTGTGGGCTCTGGGGCCGGCCTGCAGCCAGGACAGGGGGGCTGGCCACGGGGTCCCACTGCCCTCATGGGCATTGCAAATGGGCTTTTGCCACCCCCCTGCACACTGTGCTTATGAGAACCACCAGCGACTAGCCACAGACATGCACTGAAGTGCTGGCCTGCACTGAACACAGGGACGGGTTGAAAGCTGTGGCACCACTCTGAGCAACATCTCACGTTCAGAGAACTTTGCTCGGTGACACAATTAGACAGAGGAATCACGTTTACAAGGAGGCCCGACTCCAGGTTCCACCAGGTTCTGACTCCCATGTTCTCCTGAATTCCACACTCATGTCACCTTTCAAAGCCGTCCCTGCCCACTGCCTATGCGGACCCAGAGGAGCCCCAGGGGACCGGGGTCTGACCAGGGTGGGCGGTGCCACAAGCAACCTCTCCCCCTGCACCACAGCACTCACCGAAGACCTACTGTGTGCTGAGCACTGAGGACCCAGAAGAGGAGCCCTGTCTGCCCTGGGGGAATGGGCCAGCCCCTCCCAGGCAGGGCTGAGGCAGGGTGAGGAGTGGGCACCTACATAGAGCAGGGGTGGGGTGTGTGTCCCCAAGATGGCAGCTCCACCCACAGGGCAGGAAGCTCAAGTGCAGACACCGCCGTGGGGGGAGGGGGCCCGCCTCTCTGTGGATGGGATGTGCCTACATGAGCCACAATAGCCCGGCCTTCCCGTGGCTGCCCTGGCTGGCGCCCCCCACGCAACACAGGATGGTGAGGCCACCCACTGATGAGCTCGATCTTCCCGTTGCTCTTCACGTGGTAGAAGGACACGGATATGCGTGGGGCCTCTCCGTGCAGCACCGCGAACTTGCTCCCGTTCGGCTCCCAGGCAAAGGCGATGATAGTCTCTGCAGCCGGGAGAGGGGTCCCGGTCAGTCCCCCCACTCGTCCACTCAAGGGCACTCAGCACAGGTGGAGGAGCAGGGCATCTGGGGCCCCACAGCAGCCACTCCAGGCAGGGCAGGGACACCCTCAGCGGAGGCCCCACCAGGCCACCTGCCCCGGGCTCTGTGGCCCCAGCACTTGCTCTTCCCTACGCTGACTGACCTTCCCCTACACTGGCCGTGGCACAGAGAGCCTGTGGCCCGTGAAGGGCTGGCCTCCTCTATATCTCTGCTCTTTCTCCTCCCTCCAGCAAAACAAAACACGCAAACCAACGCTGCCACCTAGGACCAAACCCTGGCAGTGGCACAGCGGTTCAGGGCCCAAACAGGCCACCTGGACCCAGAGCCTGCACTGAGGCGGTGACAGGGCTCGGAGGCCAGGCCCCGCCCTGTGCAGTCGCCCCCACCCCCCACTGCTCCCCTACTTCCCCTGGCTGATGGGGGAGTGAGGAGACTGAACTTGGCCACCTTGCAAACAGCCGCCCACCGGGAACAAGGGCTGAGTCCCAGCGCTCTGCCCGCACAGCACCCCCACGGGTTTCCAAGGCCAGGTGTGCACGGTGCGTAAGGACGACCTGACCACAGGAGGGCCCCGTGGACTTGCCTTTCATCTCGACCACGTCGACAGGTACCTGTTTCTCCCTCATTCGGAAAATTTCAAAGTTTGTGACAACACCCTGGTAAAAAAGGAAAAGAAAGAAGGACAACAGCGTGAAAAATGCTAATACGAGAAGGACTCGGATCCTGCCCCTCATCGTGACACGGGGCCCACGGGCGCGGGACGCAGCGACGTAGGCTCTGCAGAGCAGCTGCACAGACACCAGGTAGGCTCGACTTCAAGGAACTGCCCTGCAGGCCCTGGTCCTGCACAGACGCCCACAGCCGGCACTGCAGCCCATCCGCAGAACTCCCCCAGGGCAGAAAGGTCCGCCTGTGGGCGGGTCCGAGCCCTTCTGCCGGGGCTTCCCAGCAGCACCATGGCCGGACACCAGGCCCCATGGGCGCCCAGGCCTGATGTGAGCAGCGTGCACCACTGCACACGGCCGGCCCTCCACACCTCTCCCCGCCTGAGGCTGGCTGGACTGCAGACACGGAGCCCAGGACTCAGAGGGCCGGTGCTACTGCTCTAGGAAAAAACCCACATCCAGGTGTCCCACACAGCTCAGACCTGCGCTGTCCACAGGCAGCTGCTTTCCCTGCTGACTCTGCACCGTGTGCCACCCGCTCAAAGGACACTCCTCAGCCAGAGTGTGACATGCCAGCTCACCACTTCCGGCGTCAAGTGGGTCTGAAAACGACCGCCCCACACAAACCGCAAACCCGTCAGCACCCTGCACACAGAAGCTGGCCTGGAGCGGCCCTGGCGCCACGCACCTGGGTGCCCTTAGGCGTCCTGTCCACTTTGACGCACAGGTAGTCCCCGTTCTTCTGCCAGTGCAGCTTGCAGTCCACGACGTTGAACAGGTTCCTAACTCGGATCTCCTGCCTGCTAGGCAGCTGCATCAGGGTGACCCTCGCCGGGATGTCTTTGTCCTCAGGCACCCAGAAGGCTATGATGTTGCCCCCGGGAGACCAGGAAAAGTCTCTGCGGAGCCGAGGACGCAGTGTCACCCAAGGTCAGGCCGAGGGACCCCAACGTCACAGTGCACTGGGTGTACAGAGGTAACCGCCAGGTGCCGTGTGAGGACTGCGTCAGTCACCCCACCCTGGGACAGCATGGCACTAACCCACCCTGCCGGGGCGGGGGCAGGGGCTGCTGACCACGCCAACCCCCGCACCACGGGCCTCCAGGCAGCACCCGGCACGCTCCTCACTGCAGCTATCGGCAGGTGAGACCGCTCCAGGCAGAGGGACCGGCCACCAGGCTGCTGAGGGTGCTGGGGAAACCCCACCGCAGCAGGGCGAGGAGGCCTGGGGAGTCGGGGCAGCGCCCCGCCCTGTGAGCGCCCCGGAGGTGCACGCAGCCATCCAGGCGGACCGGCGCTGCTTTCATCCTCACTATGGGCCCCGATGCTGCCCAAGAACAAGGGAACAGGAAACATGGCTGCCCCTGCAGAGCGGACACTGCACTGCGGAGACACTGGCCTAACCAGGGGCTTCCGAGTCAGGGAAGGGGCCCCTGACAGACAGGAGCTGGACCTACCAAAGGCCACCTGACCCCACTGTGCAGTCACCTGAGTAACAGAGAACACCAGCTACTAGGCAGAGCCCCGGCTCCACCATGGGGCCCTCAGGAGGTGCCTGTGCAGGGAAGGGGACAAGCGGGCCAGGTGGCACCCAGCAGCAGCCTGGGGCCATATTCATGCCTGGAACAAGGACAGTGTGGAGCCCAGGACTCGTGGAAGGACAATCACTTACTTTATGCCCGAGATCTTCAGACTCTTCTTGTCCAGAAGACCCATAGACTGCCGGGAAAACGGGGTCACAGTGCACTCACATTAGCCCCGTGTCTCAACAACGTCATTTTTTTTGCCCGAAGGCAACCCCAGATCCCAATGGGAGCTTGCCAAGGGGGCCTCAAGAAGTGGGGGTGAACCACAAACACGGAAAGAGCTTCTGTTTCCCAGCCACCACACTGTCCCAGGACGCAAGACCCTGACGGGGCGCCTCACGGCCTCCATCCTGCACAAGCAGCCCTACCCCCCATTGCCAGGTTGGGGGGGCACCCTGCACCCCATGCCAGCCCCACTCAGGTCTCAGTACCGAGGCCACTCACAGGCGTTTCATAGATGCTGAGGGTGTCGAGCGTCATTCTGGCGAAGAATTTGCCATCGTGGCTCCACCTGTGAAGAACAGCAACAGTGCCAGGCCCCGCCCACAAGCCACCACAGGAAGGCGCCTAGCCCGGCCCCGCCTCCTTACTTAAAGATCGGCCAGTGGGCCGAGCTCTCGCAGTGAAAGCCTCTCTTCTTCTGTCCGGTAAGGATGTCCCAGATGATGATGGCCTGAGGGTCGTCCTGCGTGTCCATCAGGGGGCTGAAAGTCACCAGGTATCTGCAACACAGGGGACACTCAGCCTCCCGCCCTCTCACTGAGGTCACGCCTCTGCAGGTGGCGTCTGACCTGTGGCCTGGGAGGCTGGGGGACAGGCCCATGACGCCTTGCTGGCACGGCCTCAGCCCCAGGTTCCCTGGCCAATCTCCCAAGAGGACACCCCAATGGAACAGGAGCAGAATGGCCCACACTGTGGTGGCCCCAACCGCCTAGAGGCTGAGACAGGGTCATGGGGATGAGAAAGATGAGGCAGCATCCTGACCCTGCTTGTGGCCCCAGCCTCGAGTCATATGTCACTCCGCCCCAACTACATGTTCTGCTGCCACACAAGACGTGCACTATTCCCTACTGAAAACATGCAAAATAACAGTGTAAAAACTAACTACTCCATCAAATTAGGAAACCCCCGTCAAATAGAACCTAGGGCTACAGAAAACACAAGGACCAAGGTGAAAGCCGAAACGCCTCGAAGGAAGCCCTCGGCCAAGTCAGGGAGGTGAGACGACTCACAGGCCGCTGACCCGGTCCCAGCCGGGGAGGGCACGCAACTGCAGGCGAGAGTGTTCTGACACACGAGGGCCTGGACGCCACACGCGCCCTGGCCTGGGCGCAGGTCTGAACCAACCAGCCGGGAGTCAGAGCAACGTGGGACGTGGGGAAAGCTGAAAACACACTGGAAAGTTCAGGAGACACAGCACGTGCGGAGGCTGCAGGGGCCTGTGCGGGGCCTTCCGGGGGCCCCACCGAGGACGGCCTGCGTGGCCAGAGGCGGAGCTGCAGCCCGCGAAGCAGCCCAGGGGCACAGAGGCGGCAGCAGTGCGTGCTCTGAAGGCGGGTGAGCCAGGACTGAGGCCAGGGCAGACAGGACACTGTGTGGCGTGAACGTCAAGCTCCCCCTGGTCGGCCCACCCAGAGCAGGGCTGCTTGGAGCAGCACACACTGGAGGGCGTCTAGTCACAAGAAAACCGTCCCTGAAACAACCGTCCCTGAAACGTCCCTTGCACTAGATCCTGAGCCGAAGAGAAAACAGTACAAAGAATGCCCCTGGACAGAGGGACAAAACTGGACGTAAGCCAGCAGTCCCCTCACTGCAGCTGGTGATGGTGCGTGGCTGCGCAGGGCCTCCTGCTGGGGGAGGGCTGCCCCTCCACCTCACCCCTGAACACGGCTCCTGGAACACTCGGCCCGAACGCTGGGGGAGAGGCGGTGGGGGAGCGACACAGTCCCTCAGGGAGAGCACACAGGAGCTCTCCGCACCCTGTGTAGTCTGAGCGTGAAACGACAGCACCCCCAGCACCCCGAGAAGGCGCAGGATGAGCCGCAGAGGTCGGGCCGGCTCTGAGAGGAGCAGACCCCACAGGCCTACCTTTCACAAGGTGAGAAGTCGATGAGCTGAACACCCTGGTGGCTGAACCTCTGAATCTGCTTGAACTTCTCACCCCCCCAGAGCGCAATGCCACGCTGATGGAAGGTGGCCAAGTAGGTGCCCTTAGGAGACCAGCGCACATAAGTCTCCGTCCACCGCTGTGGAGAAAGCCAGGCCAACGTGACCTCAACAGCCATGGCCCCGCTCCGCCCCACCCAAGGACCAGCCCAGGCATTCCGACCCAGCACACACCAGGAGCCCCCTGCCCGTCCCCCAACTCATGTCACAGCTGGGGGACGACCAGAGCCGTTCTCACAGACCACACCTGGGAGGATGGAACCCCTCGCCTGCCCCACGTAGCAGCAAACACTCACCGCTCTCTCCTCAATGGAGACAGGGTCCTTGACATCATTCCAGAATATGGATGTGCGGTCCCCACTCTCAAAGATCACGCTGTACTGGTCTCTGCACTCCGCCTCCTCCAGCCAGTACCGTAAGTTTCCCTAAAAGAGAACCGAGGGCAAAGGACGCCACTTCCTTCGTAAATTTACACTTCAGAAAACTTACCTGTGACTCCTCCTCACAGAGGCTGACGAGTCCATCGGCCTCTCCAACTCCCAAGGACTCTGCCACCTCAAGCCGGGCAGCCGACCCACACTTCTCTCCAACACCCAGCTGTCCATCCGACACAACGTACCAAGTCTTTGAAAGGCTGCTTTTCTGGAATGTCCCACTCATCACTGATGGTCATGTACCTGGAGGAGAAGAGGAAACAAGCTGGTGACACAGGGACAGTGGCGGCCACTCCCGGTCCCCGCCCGCCCAGGCAGTCAGTCCGCAGCCAGCCCTCACTGAGCACTGGCTCAGCCACATGACCGCAGTCAGTTCCTATGGCAGCTCCGCAATGTGATCACAAAGGGACGGTGTCCAGGGACCCGCCACTCCAAGCCCCTGCCTGTCCATCCCGGGGCAGGGGAGAGGGTGAGCTTCTACTGGTAACATCTGGTGGGGGAGGCTAGTGGGGGTTGCGCTACTGGCCAGTGCAAGGGGCCAGGGGTGTGAATGGTCCTGCAGGGTCTGACCAGAGGATGGAACCACCCGGAAGGCCGGGACATGGCCTCCGGAACCTGGTCACTCAGCAGGGGGATGTCCAGGACCTCACGGCCCGAGCCTGAACTCACTTGTCAAAGTCAGTGAAGAGGTTGACTCTGAACGTGTGCTGCTTGTCGAGCTTGTAGCCATCGGCGTTCTTTACAGCATCCGTGGCGTGGGCAGGGGATGCGTACTCCAGGAAGATGTACCTGCAGCGAGGAGGAGGGCCGTTTGCACACGTGTGGACTTATGACTGGGGTCACGGCCGGCAACTGGGTCGCGTCCCTGCCGGGTGCAGACAGTAGTCATGGTGGTGGTGGCGGCAGCGAAGCTTCCTCAGCATGAAAGACACCCTCAGCAACCCTGAGTCTCCCACCCCACCATCACAAGCGCACCCATCAAAATGCCCTTACCTGGACTACAGTGCGACTTCACGTCAAAACCTCTAAAGCCGCATATTTAGAACTGGGCCAGTTTACTGTGTCAATTATTCCAATAAAGCAGTCACAAAGTCGCAAATGTTATACACCATGTTGTATTACAGCCACAGAAATTCAAGAACGTTTCATTATAAAGAAAATAGAACTCCAGGGACCCTTCCACCCAGTTCCAAACAGAAAACGTTATACGCATTACCTGCACTTGGTCACTTAATTTCTAAAAAGAAATCAAAGCTACCCAGCTGGTTTGCAAACCTGAGTTAAAACGCATGGTCACCTCCCAGTGCTGTCCTCTCGGAGGCTGGCACCTCCAGGGAACGCGAAGGGAGGAAGGCCGACAGGACAGTGCAGCGAGATGCAAAATGCTCGAGTGCCCCGGCCGGTGCAGCGTGAGTCAGTCACCGACTCATCATGGGCAGACTCTGCCCAGCAGCACTGCGGGGCTACACGCCACCCCCGACTCCACACCTGGCTCCAGAGCAAAGAAACGACCACACTGCCACCAAGGGGACACACGCCGCACCTGCAGCTGCGACTCACTGCAAGTCGACTGGCAGGGAAGCAAGGCGGTGGCGGGACAGACGCCCCCATGCGCAAGGTGAAGGCGCAGAATCACACTTAGCAGCACAGAGGACCCGCGGGGAACTTTAAAAGCAAACTGCAGGGGTGCACAATACCTCCCGCTACCACATTTAAAAGAGGCACTACCTCAGGCAGCTCTGGGAGAAAGCTGCTGACTAGGCAGTGCCCGGGTGCTCTCACCCAGACTGTGAGAACGCCCCCATTCAGAGATCAAAATGTGTGTGGGGGGGACAGGTGTCATCTTAAATTCAATAAACCCACATGCACAGTTTGCCTGAAACCCTGCCAGCTTCCAGATCCACGGGCCGTCTGCCCAGGACGTCCCTCGTGCCCACCACCCTGACAGCAGAGTGGAACACTGAGCGCCGATCTCCTGAGCACTCAGTAGCCAGCATCCCGCACCCCCAGCAAGCAGCAGACCTGCTGCTGCCTCTGTGCGCCAGCCTGGAACAAGGGCCCGCGCTGCCCAGCGCCCCAGTGAGGCGAGAGGCCAGCGACAGAGCACTGCCATGTGGTGACTGCCGCAGGCGTCTGACACCAAGAGACACCGACGACACTGGCGGTGAGAGCACCCACGACTCACCCTTTTGTCTTTCCATCCTCCTCTGGGTAGAAGTCGTTGGTGATCTTCCCGAACTTGGAGAAGATCTTGTGGATGACGTTCTTGAGCTTCTCTAGCCGGTCTGGCCCCACCTGAGGGACATTGTCGACGACGATGACCGAGTCGATCCCATCTGCCTCCTGGGGCCGGTCTTTGAGCACATCCCCGAGCAGTTCTGTGCAGGGAGAGACGTGCCCAGTGACCGAAGGGCCCGACCACAAGCCCACGCAGCACCTCGGCGCCCCAAACTCCCCTCCCAGGAGCAGGAAGGGGAGCCATCCAACACCTGCACTGGGAAGGACGGAGGTCTTGGTCCTGGCTGCCTGCAAAGCTACACCTGGGAGAGTCAGGAAGACTGGACCCCTCCCACTCTCGTCAACAATCAGGACCCAGGACAAGCCCTGGCAGCCAGGAAAGGTCGTGAAGAGTATTCAAAACAGACTGCAAATAACGCAGAACACAGATCAAGAGGGAGACCTTGCACCAGCAACCAGAGGAGCCCAGGGCGGCTGGGACGACCCAGGAAGCCTTCCCCAGCCCGCTGCCAGGCGTCTCTTCCCCAAATCCCTTCTGTCTGAGGACAGGGAGGGGCGAGCTGGGTGTGTACACGAGGAGACCAGAGAACTTGCAAGCTCAGGGGAGCATGTGCACAAACACTGCGACCACCGATGGGTGGGTCCTCCCGCTGGACAAAGCATCTCATGGGGCCACTGGGAGCCCCCTGCTGTTTACAGGTATCACACCCTACACACTGGGACGGTGCTAGGAGCACGGTGAGTGGTATGTGCTGTTATTTTCTTAACTACATGCAAAGACAAAGTGTGTTATGCTTGTGTATCTGCTTTGAAAGTTAAGGTACCCAACTCGAGTGTTCGAAACTCCTAGACCTGCTTCGTCTCCGTAAGCTGGAAGGTGGGAGCAGGAGGAAGAAGGAAAGGCAGGTGTAAAACGAGAGGAACCAGCCAGCACATGTCTGGGAAGCAGACGGGGCCCGCTGGTTTGCTGGGCGCTTCGGGCTACCTGCCCGATGCCATCCTGCCTGGGGTGGATCCCATACTCTGGTCCCTCGACCACAAGGCTCCAGAACTGGTAAATGCCACTCAGCTGCCAGAGACGGGCATTCGGAGGTCACAGCGTCAGAGGAAATAGAGCAAGTCTTGCCCTCCCTTTCAAACTGGCTGGTCTGGAAAGAGGTGACACACACCAAGGCGCTGAGCTGGGAGAGAATACAGACGCCTTCAGAGCCACCATCAAAGTGAGACTGGCAAGACTGGCCAGGCCGCCAGCCAGCGCCAGCCACCTACAGGCCCGGCTGGGGCCAGTGGCTCTGCACCACGCGTCTCCGGGCTCTGGAACCAAGTGCCACCCTACCTTCTTTATCACACTTTTAAGAATTCCAATGTGCCAAACAGGACACATCAGAAAACACCCCTTGCTGCATCCTCTTCTCCCCACTTTGGTGTCTGAGATGCTCCATCATAAGCTGAAAGGTCTTTCAAAAAGAAGTCCATTGACCCTGGCTGGCATAGCTCAGTGGATGGAGCGCGGGCTGCAAACCAAAGGGTTGCTGGTTCGATTCCCGGTCAGGGCACATGCCTGGGTTGTGGGCCAGGTCCCCAGTGGGGGCCACATGAGAGGCAACCACACATTGATGTTTTTCTCTTTCTCCCTCCCTTCCCCTCTCTAAAAATAAATAAATAAAAATCTATTTTAAAAAAAAAAAAAAGAAGCCCTTTAATTAAAAGAGTCATGCCCTGTTAGAAATGATTTCTAATTAATTTCAACCTTTATAAGTGACACTGAAAACGTTATCTTAAAAAAAGAACTGCCACTTAAATTTCACGCCCTGGCTGGTATGGCTCAGTGGATTGAGCGCCACCAGCAAACCAAAGAGTTGCTGGTTCGATTCACAGTCAGGACACATGCCTGGGTTGTGGGCAGGGTCCTCAGCAGCGGGGCACACAAGAGGCAACCACACATCAAAATTTCTCTCCCTTTCTCCCTCCCTTCTCTAAAAATTAAACTCTTTCCAAAAAGAAAAAAAAACTGCCACTTAAATTTCAAAGAAACAAAAACTGAGACCAAAGAGAAAAAAGGGAAAGAGTCAGGTCCAAGCCACACCCTGAAGATGCTGCCCTCCCGAAGCTCCATGGGGTCCTGGGGTTCCTTCTGCCGCTCCCTGACCGTGCAATTAAGTGGCCTGCGAAGCCTGATCTGAACGTACAAGGGTTCCAAGTGGGAATGCCAGTTCTTTATGGGAGTCTGCCGCACACAGCAAGGAGCGAGGGTGACACCCACACACGGAGAAACATGTTTCCGGCCCACACTTCTGGTTACTCCTGGCTCAGAGTCCCCATCTGGCTCCAAGAGAAACAGAAAGAAGCAATTCTCAAAAGTAAATACATATATAAACAATACTTAATGAGCCAAGGAAGGCACGTCTAAGAGTTAGCACCTCCATCAAGTCTGGCAGAGCCCACCAGCAGCTGAGAAGTGGGGCTGAGCGTGGGTCTGTGGCTGGTGTCTCAGCAGGAGGGGCCCAGGCTGCCCTGCAGCCCACGCTGCAGCGATGGCCCCGGAGTGAGTGGCAATGCACACCACTCTGTATGTTCCAGAGACGAGGCTCCTGTGCACCACTCACTGCTCCCTATACACAGGACAGTTCTCACGAAACACTCATGAGCACCAGACACAACCAAGGACCCTCGGAAAGCTGCAGGCCGGCTCAATGCCAGTCTCCAGGACTGGGGTCTCATGTCACTCTGGGGACCACATGCTCCCCAAGGCCTGCTCATGACAGAATCTGACCGCCACACTGGGCAAATCTAGACACAGTTTATGCGTTAAAAATCTTGTGTGAATACAGCATGCTCAAAAAATGCTTAAAAAAGAAGTCAAGCACCGGCTGGTGAGGGTCAGTGCGTTGAGGGCTGGCCTGTCAACCAAAAGGCCACCAGTTCCATTCACAGTCAGGGCACAGGCTCGGGTTGTGGGCCAGGTCCCTTTCCTTCTCTCTAAAAACAAATAAAATCTTTTTAAAAAGTGAGATGTAGAATAAATAGTGAAAGGATGAAAACAGGCCCTAAAACGAACACTCAGATTTTAAAGTAACAAAAGCCGGTGTGGTAGAAAGACCCAGATCTGGGCAGCAGAGGCTGCAGCAGTGTGGCCCCAGGGTGGGGGTCTGGTTCATGGGGGCCTGTCGGTGGTGAAGGTCCACTGCCCTCCCACTGCACCAGCGAGCTGTGCAGCCTTCCCTGCTTCACACCCAGCAATATTTGTATCTTATGAAACAAAGTAAGACACAGTAAGTAAGAACAACACAAAGCAGCCCTTTAAAATCTCATTTAAGAGCTGATAACTCTATTTCGGTTTTCTAAGCTTTCACATTTTACTGGAGGTTTGTTAGGATTCTGACTGTCAGTGAACTCACACATACCACCTCAGCAGACAGTCTGCACCTGGGCACAGCAAGGCCACGTTTTCCTGGTGCAGCGCTGGCTGCTGGAGTGGAGCCATGCTCACGCCCCCAGTGCACGGAAACGTGGTCAATGCACAGGGGGCTGCAGATATGCTTCGAGACTGTAGATTAAATCGCTAAAAACTAAACAGAAGCCAACAAAATCTGCTGAGATTAGGAGCTGAACTGTCCCTCTGGGGCAGGAAGCAGAAATAACACCTGTCGATCGAATCGTGCAGAAAAAAGAGTAAAGCAAGCTGTAATCAACAGGAAACCTGGAACAATCAATTATCTGCGACAGGACGGTGGCCGGCCTTCCCAATTACAGACAGACACCCAGGCAGGGATTCGGAGATTATGCCTGGCACTGTCCCAGTGGGGAGCCTTCTCTCCCTGCAGGGAGCTCTGCCACTGCGAGGTCCAAGGGACAGCGGCCCACCCCCCCGAGGAATCCGCACTGGGTCGGTTTCACCTTTGACAGGTGTGGCTGGACACTCAGCCACCCACACCTGTAGCTGACAACTGTCACCGGAGCCCGGGCGGCGCGTGCAGTGTGTCCTGCTCTGCTGAAACCCCCGGCCAGGCTCCAGTGTGGTTGCCCCAGCCTCCAAACACCTGGGGTAGGAACGGCTGGGTAGCCAGGTCATCTTCACCCTGCCCCTCCTTTACAGGAGGAAAGGAGAGGGTCCAGAATCTCCCAGCAAACCTTGCCTCTGCGCAGGAGCCAGATGGAAAATGGGGGCCACCCCCCGACGCTGACTCCCGAGGTGCCTGCTGACCCCGCCCACGTTGGGCGCCCCGCCGCCTCACCTTCCTCGCTCACGTCGTCCACGAAGTCCTCCGGGTCGCTGAAGGAGGGCTCGTCCGCGTCACCGTTCTCAGCCGCGCCGCCAAGCTCCCCGCCCGGCCCGTCAGACCGGCCTTCGGCTGCCGCGTCCCGGGCCTGCTCTCCTGGAGACTCGTCCGCGGCCGGAGTGGGGAGCTCCTCGGGCGGGGGCGGGGACGGGCCGGGGGTCGCACCGGCCGCCTCCTCTCCGTTGGCCGCGGGCTCAGCCGGCACTTCAGGCCCGGGCCCGGCCTCCGACTCCTCGTCCTCGCCGTCCGCCGCCTCTTGCGCGCCGGGTCCCGCGGGCCGTAGCGGCTCCTCCTGCGGCGGCTCGGCGGCCGGCTGCTGCTGTTCGGGCTCTGCCCGCTCCTCGCCCGCCTCGGGCGCCGCCACGTTCTCCGCGTCCTGCATGGGCTCGCCGCTGCCGCCTCGCCGCGCTTCCGACTCTCCCAGGCCGCACCGCGCCTACGACCGGGCCATGTGCGTGCGGCGGGGCGTCCCACAAGGGCGGGGTAAATGAGCCCAGGCCCCTATGCCTCCCAGCGCAAACGGGGAAACTCAGAGGGCATCGGCGTGTCTATCAGCGATTACTACGGCGCTTCCACAACGAGTATGCACTCGACAGCAATTACAGAGCTTCTCGTTTCAGTACACAAACTCAATGCGAATTGCAGCCCCCTGCTCTTGGAAGAGAATGGTTTTACCCAACGTGGCGGCCTTCTCCCGTCGGGCGCTGCGGCGAAGGGCTAAACCATTTGTGACGCTACAGGGATAGTAAGGTCCCAGAAGTCAGCTCAATAGTTGGAATTGGGTAAAAACATAACTCACAAATTAATACTAGAAAAACCTGTAACTTCAACGAACTGCTTTAGCTGTGATGTATTAGCCTTTCACCAAATTGCAGCTTCCCTTATATTACTAAGTTCCCCTCTCACATGTCAGTGTTTAGACTCGTCTACTGACTGGGCAAAAGAATGGACTATTCCAAAACATTAAAGGAATTCCTGCCGAGCCAGAGATGGCCAACGCTACTGGAAAGACGACTTCCCGGCTCAATACCCAAAAAATGAGAGTTGCTTTAATCAAACACGCCCCAGCGCACCGCGTGGTAGCTAATCCCGCCTTCCTCAGTTCCCGTGTCCTCAGTTCCCGGTGGTTCGACCTGCCGGAGCGTCCGCCCGGGGAGAGGGCCAGCGCGGGTCACGTGGGAGGGCGGGCCCAGCGTAGCGGGCGGGCCCAGCGCAGGGGTGGGGCCGCGCTGCAAGGTGCAGCTAAAACTGGAAAGCGGCGCTCTTTGGCTTCTGTTTGCACTCTCTGGAAGGGCGTCGCGTATTTGTGTCGTGCTTCGCTTAATGCTAGGCGTGAAGACAAGTGCTGATTGGGGGTGTTTGAATCATCCTAAAAACGGAACTCGGTGCGGGGGTGGGGGCGTGAAACAGGAAGTTAGAGTTTAATGGAGAAAGAGCCTGGTTGGGGAAAAGGAGCAAGTTCTTGAGTCGATGTTGGACCGGTTTCCTAAAGGCAAATTAACCTCTTCTGGAGATCAAAGGTTTCACTTTTAGTTCCAGCTGCACTTTTTGTAGGTAACTGGGCTCCGCCAGCCCTTTTCTTCTACAACGTGCTAAGAGTGACAAATCAATGATGGAAGCTTGGGAACAGCGGAGGTTGGTTTGGCCTTGCCCGGGAGACCCTCCAAGGCATTGCTGTTCCCCGGTGAAGATAAACCCGGTTTAGTGTCACGTTCTTTAGTGCAGGGGAATGATGGATGCGCTCGTGATGCAAAAAATATATATTGGGTTGGCCAGAAAGTCCATGTGGTTTTTTCCATAAAAGACACATTTTTCATTTTTGCTAATAACTTGATCGATTTGGATATTTAGAGTATGTCGGCTATCTGCGTCCATTTGATCGCTATCAACTTCAACCAACAGGAATCCCCAACACGAAATTTGTCAGACCACTCACAGCTCCTTCTCCATAAACTGCACAAATTTCTTTATGCATTTCAGTTGTGTTTTTACTTCTCTTGAAATAATAAAGCGTAGTATGCTGAAAATGTTGTGTATTTTCTTCCATCTTTAATGTTAAAGTGGTGACCTAAAAATTCACCAGTTTTTGTTTTTTTAAATGCACACTGATAGGACAGCTGTCGAAATACAATCTAACAAAATTGTTTCAAATGAAATTGAAGATAACTACTAATTCCTACCACCATCATACATGGGAAAAAAAGAATGAAAAATATACACTGAAAACCCGACATGACAATGTGATCATTTTTGCTTCTAATAGTCACATTTATTTGGGAGAACTTAATAGGAGAAAATAGCATCCTCATGGATTTACCATTTCTGGTGCTCTTCTTTCCTCCATGAATTTCCAGGGTTCGCCCTCTCCATCGGCAAAAGGGAGGTAAAGGTAATTGTGCTCCCTGCCTCCCAACATTGTTACCACACACTGCATAGAAAACGTTTCGGCCCAGCCGGCTGGCGCAGCTGGGTAGAGTATCATTCCATAAAGCAAAAGGCTGTGGGGCTCCATCCCCAGTCAGGGCACAGGCCTGGGTTGCAGGTTTGATCTCCAGGCTGGATGCATATGGGGGGGGGCAATCGATGTTTCTCACACACTGACCTCTGTCTAAAAAAAAAAAAAAAAAAGGCAATCTAAAACTGTCCTTGGGTGAAGATGAAAAAAAGTTTCAATAATGTCTGCTCATATACGATCTCATTTACTGTTTCTCACTCAACAGTGTCGTCAGTGTTTTTCAGCACTGTGATGTCATGTTTGTAACATTATTATGTGTTTGTAATGACCCTTTGAAAACAACTGAAGAAGTGCCCATGGGGGCTGGGTCCTGAGACAGAAACAGGACAGACAGGTGAACCTCCCCGTCCAGGGCCGACTTTCTTTTCTTGGCTGTGACCTGTGAGATGTTAACACGAGGGGCCCCGAGAGCTTTCTGAACTCCCTTCACAACATTTTTTCAGGTTTTAATTTATTCCAAATAAAAAGTTTGGTAAGCCCTGGCTGGTGTGGCTCAGTGGTTGAGTGCGGCCTGTGAATTGCCGGTTCAATTCCCAGTCAGGGTTCAGGCCAGCATTGCAGGCCAGGTCCCCAGTAGGGGGTGTGGGAGAGGCAACCACACATTGATTTCCCTCCCTGTATTTCTCCCTTCCCCTCTCTAAAAAATAAAATAAATAAAATCTTAAAGTTTGTTAAAAACTCCTGAGACTCAAGTATGCTTGTGCACCTCAGGTCTACGGCAGTGTTTTTCAAGATAAGCAACGGGGTGGGGGTGGGGGTGCAAACCTGTGCCAGTCAGCGGGAGAATGGCTGAACAACATGGGGCCTTGAGACTGGGGGCCTCTAGACCAGAGACACCACTGGGCCTGGACAGAAAGGAGACTCTGGCCCCTGCTACCCCCCTGAGGACATTGTGTGTTGCGATACAATCTAACAAAATTGTTTCAAATGAAATTTTGTGTAGAAAGGACAGATGGTGTGCGACCCCACTCATACAAGGTAGTATATGAGTCATACAAAGTAGTGACTACCGGCATAGTCAAGTCCACAGAGACGGCAAGTAGATGGTAGGTTCCAGGGGCTGGGGGACAGGCTGAGTGTTGCATGCAGACAGAGTCTACCTTGGGAAGGTGAGAAATTTCTGGAGGTGGCGGCCGCTGCACCACAGGGTGAACTTGCTTCCTGTCACTGAACCCACACTTAACCAGTGGTTTAAACAGTAGATGTTGTTTATCTTGTGCACATTTTGCCACAATGTTTTTAAAAGAAAAAACAATGTTGCAAACATTGCCTTTCTGGTGGTGGTTGTCCTGCTGGCTGGCTGGTAACCTCCAGAAGGATGCTGAATTGATGGGGCCTTAGTCTTTCCCCGGGCCAGCGGTCCCCTTGGAGTATGAGATCGGGAATGAATGAACGAGAAGAAAGGACCTGCCTGCAGGCGGCGCTCCCGGTCCAGCCACAGCAGATACAGAGCTGAGCAGGTTTCTCCTCCCTCCTAACCTCAGGAGTAGGAAGCTCTCAGAGGAGCTTCTCGATTATTTCTCCTGGATGTTTTGCCTGGACAGGGCTGTTGCTAGGGTCACAGAGCAGGGAGAGAACAGGGACAGATGGACCCAAAGGGTCCACGGTGGTCCCTAAGCCTCCGAACCCCCGCTTCACACCTGACCAAGGACACTTCTGCCCTTGGCGAAGGCTGCTTGGATTCCCTGCCGAGATGGCCTTCTAACTCACGGCTCAGACAGCCCCCATCGGCTCCCAGCAGGGGGGAGCACGAGTGTGCCGTGGGCCTTGCCCCCAGGTGTTCAGCATCGCCTCATCCCCGCTCGGAGGGCTGGCGTCTCCAAATGCTTTCACCCTTCATCTCAGCCAAAAGGCTAAGCAATTCAAATGCTTCCTGTGCATCTACTGAAATGATCGCCCAGATTTCCTCCTTTGTTCTATCGATGCGGTGTTCGGGGTGGGGCTGTGTGTCTCCTCCCCCAGCCCCCATAAAATGTATATATATATATATATATATATATATATATATATATATATATATATATATATATATATATATATATATATATCCCATCCCTCATTGAGCCTGGGCCTGAGAACCAGACAATTGCGGTTCGATTCCCATTCAGGACACATGCCTGGGTTGCAGGCTGGTTCCCTGCAGGCCATTTCCCAGCAGGGGACGCACGAAAGGCAACGATACATTGATGTTTCTCTCCCTCTCTCCTTCCCTTCTCCTCTAAAGATAAATAAATAAAATCTTAACGGGGGGGGGGGGGCTGGGATGGGAGAAATAGACAAAAAACTGTGCTTGAAAAATAACTAAATAAAATTTAAAAATAAATAAATAAATAAATAAATCTTTAAAAAAATACTTTCTTACAGAGCAGTTTAAGGTCCCCATCACGATTGGGAGGGAGGAGCCCACACCTCCCCTGTGCCCGCCCCTTCCGTTTACCAGCACCTCCCGCCGGAGTCGGAGTGGGCCGGGCTGGCAGGGAGGGACCGGCGCTGGTGCCCCCCCTTCAAGTCCTCAGCTGGCTTCCGGGCTCCCGCTTCACGCAGTACTTACTGTGTAGGCTTGGACAGACTGCGCAAAGGGCTTTGGTCTTCCTTTTATTTAACATTTGTTTGTTGCTACTACGTGGAAATACAGTTGATTCTTGTGTATCAGTCTTGCACCCCACCAGCTCGGGAAATTCGCTCATTCTAATTCTGGTTAGGATATATATATATATATATATACACACACACACACACACACACACATATATATATATATATATATACACATATATATGTATATATGTATGTATGTATGTATATGTATACGTATATACACACATACTTCCATACTTCCATATACACCTTCCTTTCCAATGTATACACTTTTTTTTTTGGCCTATTTCACAGGCTAGTACCTCCAGTCAGTGTTGAGTAGGGGTGGGCGTGAACATCTTGCTTTGTTGCTAGTCTTGGGGAAAAATATTTAGTTTTTCACTATGATGTATGAAATCAGCTTCCGAGTGTAACAGCTGCTCTTTATCAGGGTGAAGAAATGTCCTCACAAGTCCCAGTTCACCGACAGTTACAATCGTGAATGGATGTTGAATTTTGTTGAAATTTTTGGCTTTTTTTTTTTGCATTATTTTCCCCTGAATTTTACATTTTCTGCCCATGAGGTGGTCCTGTGGCTCTTCTGCTCAGACAGTGAGTTACACTGATTTTCCAAGTGATCACACCCGCACGACACCCTGGAAGCAGCTCTGCCTCCGTGAGGCCGCCCTGCACGCTCCTTCCTAGGGAAGCCACCCGGGCCAGGGGTCTGCTTCGTGCGGGAGGTTCTTGTTTGTGTTTTATGGTGTGATAAAGGCCACATAACACAAACGAGCCACCGTAGCTGATTCATAAGGGTGCAGTTCAGTGGCACCAAGTCAGTCCCAACAGGGAGCAGCTCGGTACCGCAGGAGTGATGGCCTCAGGCTTCCGGAGGGTGGGCGCGGGTCAGAAATGGGTCAGTCTCTCGGGGTTGAACTGTAGGCGTTGGCCAGTTCCTTGGAGGCTCCGCAGGGAATCCAGTCCCACCTCCTCTGGCTTCCAGGGGCTCAGGGCTCCAGCCTCTGCCTCCAGGGTGGTCCCCTGGCCTGCTCCCTGCCCCTCTCCGACTCGCACTCTTGCCACGGCATCCGCCTGCCCAGACGGTTCCAGATTCTCTTCCCGTCTCACGATCCTTCACTTTTCACATCTGCAAAGTCCTTTCCCGTGTCACACGCTCACAGGCTCTGGGGATTCGGACCTCTTCTCCCACAGGCCACCCTCAGGCCCGCAAAGATCCCCACCCATCCAATAAGCAAAACACATTCACCCTCCTATCCCTGCATCCCCAAAGTCTCAAGTTACGGCAGCATTTGAGAGTACGAAATCTCATCTAAATCTCAGAGGAGCCAAAGTCCCAAACCCGGCCATCGAGTAACGTCAGCCAGGGTTGGGTAGAACCCCTTGTACGAGGGAGGTGCCTTTCCCTCCGGCACTTAGAAAACAGGTGCCCTAATCCCCAGACACAACGGTGTGTGTGACTGGTGTGGACAATCCCCTTCCAAAGGGAGAGCAGGGAAGGAAAAGAGATCGAGTCCTCAGTCCAAGCAACTTTGGGATCCAGGGAGCAGGGGCAGTTAGGGATGGAGGCCTCGGGATTATCCTCTGAGGCTCAAGGTTCTGCTCCCTGCCCCCCAACGCCCCAGGGGCTGTGGTTCCACACTGACCTCCTTCCCTGTCCCCAGCAGTGGCTCCTGTGTGGTGGCTCCTGTGAGCCTGGTCCCTGCCTGCAGATGCTGAGGCCCGAGGAGGCCTCTTGTTTCCTCCTTCTGTGTCCCAGCTGGCAGGGACTCTGCTGACATCGTAGCAGAGCCTCCCCGGTCCGTCCGCAAGGCCGCGCTGAGTTGTTTGTTCCCTCTCTGTTTTTGCTTCTGCTGACCTGGCGCACACCTGTGCCCTTCCTGGGACTGGACACTGGGACCTTTGTTTCCTTCCAGGCACCGGGAAATGGCTGCCCAGCTGCCCCAGGCTTTCTCCTGGTAGCTCCGTGCTGATCGATGCAAGTCTTCTGATTTTATTGCCTCCTGCTGGCGGCACAGGTTCTTTTCTGGGTGACTGGCGGACTCCACTGTGCTGGGCTCCTTTCCACCGTCTCTCCAGGCTCCAGCCTTGCTCCTCGTTTCCTCCGCAGCCCCACTGGAGGCGGCGCCTTTACGGCCTGTGGATCTACCCACAGTCCCTTGCGGCATGCTGACAGCAGGTGTGTCCACTAAGATGACCTCACCGGTGGGCGGTTAGCATCCACGTGTCCAGGAACAAGCTATTCCAGGCAACCTGGGCTTCCTCTGGCACACCTCTGAGAATGCTTCCAGTCCTCAATCCCAACACCAGCCCCACGCTTCGGGGTTCGTTACAGCAGCACCCCGCTTCCCAGTGTCCCTGTGGGCATGCTGAGTGCTGTCACTGCAGCGGGCATCTCACTGGGTGACACCACAGCAGTGCGTCATCCAGGCTGCTGTTCTCGGACGGTGGTTTTCAGCTTCTCAGAAAGAGCCCTTCTGTTTTTTGGTTAAATTTGTGGACATGTGCTTTTTCTTTCTCTCACATAGCTGTCTGGGTGTGGAATGGCCTCAAAGGTCAGTCTTGCTCCACTCAGCCTCGCGTGGACAGCCAGTTGCTGTGCTGCTTCTGGAGGCCGGGGTTCTCTCCTCATCACCCCCCATTTCATCAGTGAAGTTCAGGTCCATTCCCACCCTTAGAGTGGGACCTACATCTTCCTCTCCTGTTGCCTCAACTCGGGTTCCTAAGACCTTTATTATTTGTTTTATTTTTAAAAGAGTTCTTTTTTTAAATGATTTTATTTACTTTTAGAGAGAGGGGAAGGGAAGAAAAAAGAGAGGGATAGACATATTGATGTGTCGTTGCCTGTCACGCACCCCCTATTGGGGACTGGCCCTCAACCCAGGCCTGTGCCCTGCCTGGGAATCGAACCTGTTACTCTTTGGTTCTCAGGCCGGTGCTCAGTCTGCTAAGCCACACCAGCCAGGGTGCGAATCTTTTTTAAAAAAATATTTTATTTATCTTTAGAGGAAAAGGGAAGGAGAGAGGGAAGGAAATAGCAATGTATGGTGGCCTCTTGTGCGTCCCCTGCTGGGAACTGGCCTGCAACCCAGGCATGTGCCCTGACTGGGAATCAAACCCGCGATCCTCTGGTTTGCAGGCCTGCACTCAACCACTGAGCTACACCAGCCAGGGCCAGGGTGTGAATCTTAAGGTCATTACCAATATTTGGTTTGAGTAACATGTGTAATGTCCAGAGGCCATTCCTGCCACTGTTGGAGCCACAGCCCTGGGACAGGGCTGGTCGCCATCTCTCCTAATGGCCCAGCCCAGCAGAACCCCTGGGTCCTCAACCTCAGCCGATGGACCTCTCACTCCCTGCTCCGACGCGGCACTGACAGCCAAGCCCAGACCAGCAGCTTGGTGGACTCAGCCCCCAGCCCCCAGGGAACCACGCGGCGGCCCTGACAGTGCACCAGCCCTACCCTGACCGGGTCCTTGGAGGCCGCCGCCCCCAATCGGGCCCAACTCCAGGCCACTCCCTGGACTGCACCGCCCCACGGCAGCAGGGTCCACTTTACCTCCCTCCTCTCTGTTCAGTGGACTTCCAATCCCCTGCCTTCAAACCATCCCCTAGCTGAAGTCCCAGGACAGCCATGCCCTTGACCTCACCTGCTCTCCCCTCCCCTCCCTCGGCCTCGGGTCATGTCCACGACTTCCCTGGGCCAGGCCTCTGGCCTTACTCCTGCCCCGCCCTCCCCCTGCTCAGCAGCCACCCGGAGCAGGAAGCTGCTCCCCCCAGCCTTACTCTGGGCTCCAGACCTGAGAGCCTCAGGCCCTTCCCTGCGCCGTGGCTCTCCCACAGTCCCGGGAGACAGCACCCACCATTTTCCCACCTGGCCTCTCAACTCTCCAGGTGGTGGCGGTGTCTCCGCCCCGCCACCCAGTCCCCTCCGCTGCAGATCCAGAGCACAAAGCAGGCTTTCGTACAGCCCTCAAGAGCGCAGCTCCCTGCCACACGCCCTGCGGGAGCAGCTGCCAGGTGGAGCGGAAGCCCCGCCCCCAAACCCTGCGTCCGACGATGCCCCGCCCCCCCCACGGTGCTTCCCCAGCCCCAGGGTCCCCGCTCATGGCCACCCTGCCCATGGATTTGGGTGGGAGCCAGAACAACTCAGGAAGGGAGGCCTGTTTTTTTAAAATTTGTTTATTTTAAAACATGAAACCCAAGCTGAATAGAAACCACGGAAATTATATTGATGAGATTTTAGTATTTGCCAAGAAAAATAAAGCCCCAAAGATATAAAAATTAAACCCCAAGTCCAGTTTGGGGGGAAAAATAAAGAAAAAACAAACACAGCGACAGCATATCCAGCCATGGCCCTGGGGAGGTCAGAGGTCAGTGACCCGTGGCTCAGGCCTCTGTCCCCAGTCAGCTCGGACATTAAATCTGGTGGGAGGGGGCCAGGAGGGGTGGAGTCTCAACGAAATTATCTGGAGACCGTGTGTAGCAAACATGAGCGTGTGATGGCTGAACCAAAACTTCCCCCGGCTGCCCCCACCGGGACCCCAGGGGGCTGCCACCCACTCTCCTCCTAGGCTGGGCAGGATCTGGGGTGGGCAGGGGCAGGTCCTTGGATGGGAATTGCATAGTGAGATGGGGTGGGTGGGGCTGGGAGAAGGGTCCGGGGCTTCCGACCAGGCCTCCCGCTCACTACCCCCGCCTGGGGCAGCAGCCGGGGCCCGCTGGCCAGGTGTTCCAGCTGGACCCCGCCTCCTGCTCACCCGGCTTGTGGGGCCTGAGCCCTGTGGGGGGCTTTGTAGGCTCCCTGCCCCCCACATGGTCGAGGACCCAGCCCCCAGGATGCTGCAGGGCCAGAGGGGCCCAAGGCCCACTGGTGCAGGGGTGGGGATGTGTGGAGAGGTTAGTGGGGTGGGGGACTGGTGCAGGGGTGTGGGCAGGCTAGCAGGGTGGGGGATGGCCAGGAAGAGGCCCCAACACAGAACAAAAGGAAAACCAATACGGGACCCCGCCCCATGGCTGAAGCTCATCTTTGAACCCCCTGGATTCCTCCTCCTCCTGTGTCCAGCGTCGGTGAGTGAAGAAACAGGGGGTCCTCACAGGCAAGTGGGCACAGCCTGCCCGCACAGGGGGCACCAAGTCGTCACAGGTCGTGGGCAGGGCTGCTGCCCTTGAGACCCACATTCACCTGAGGCGGCCTTGCCAGGGCTGTGGGGAGCACATGGCGGGCACCGCAAGACTGCGGGGCTCTCCTGACGGGAGGTCTGAATGCTCCCACCATGGCCATGGGGCGGAGCCCAGGGCACCAGTGGGCAGACGGGCTGTGGCCCGGCCCCTGGAGGGCCCCACAGTGCAGCGAGGGCAAGGTCTGGCCATGCCAGGAGCCCAGGGTGGGTCCTCTAGTGCCCCCTCCCTTCCCAGGGCAGAGGCTGACCCCTGGTGGGGCAGATGTGGCTTGGTCCCTGCCCTTTTGGTCCCAGACACCAGCACAAAGAAAGAAGGTCCCAGTGGGAGGGAGGCGGCCTCTCTGAAGCAGGCCCAGGAAGGGGTGCTGCCCTCGCTCTGGGAGTTAGCGTCCCTGCCGCCCCCTGATCTGTAAACTGCCCAGCCAGCTGCCTGGCTCCCTCTGTGGGACCCCGGCCAGGGGCCTCACAGGCCACAGCCAGCACCAGCCCCTCTGTGTGAGGCCGGCCAAGCCAGGGCTGGGGCTGGCAGGGGCCTTCCTGTCCTGACATGGGGTTGGCCCGCCCACGGCAGGAAATGGCAAACATTGTACACTGAAGCCAAAAGCACCCAAGGGAGCCTTGCTCCCACTTCACAGGTAGGGAGACCAAGGCCACAGGGACCTCGGTCCTGCAGCCCTCAGTCTGCCTGGGGCGACACCATTCTGGGGAGGCCTCTCCGGGGCCTGGGCAGGCTGCCTGTGCCCCCCACAGCAGCACCCAAGAAGAACTGGCGGTGCCGGCCTGACTCCCGGCCGGCTGTCCTGGACTCGGGGTTACACTCGCCAGCCTGGCCGGGGAACCCCGGTGGGTGACTGGGGTGAGGTTAGTGGTTAGTCCCCAGGGGCGGCAGGGGCTGGGGCTCATTCACAGGAGGCTCGGGTCCAATCCCCAAGCCTGGGCTCCGGGACACTGCACCTGTCCTGGATGGAAGGGGGACGGGAGGAAGTGCGCTCACCAGCAGCCCCGTGGCCTGCCTGCCCTAGAGATGATGAGTGTGGTTAGTGCAAGAGGGAACTGGAACCAGCTGCCAAGTCTGGGGAGAGAGGGAGGGGGTTTGGCACCAAGAAGGCGGCCAGCACTGGGTGGGCGGCTTACACTGGCCGTGACACCTGGGGCCTCCTGCGGTGTGGAGGGCCTGGTGCTGCGGCTGCTGAGGGAGAAAGCGATGCTGGGCGGAGGCAGAAAAGGTCGCCCCTCGGGAGGCTTTTGGCCACTGGTGGGAGGGGCCTGCGCTGGGTGGGAGAGAAGGGACACACCACAGAGCGGAGCAAGGAGGTGCCGGCACCAGGGCACAGAAGCGACCCAGGGCTGCAGAGGGAAGGAGGGCATGGCGAGGTGGAAGCTGCAGATTTGAGGGTCCCCGTGCTGCAGGAGCAGGCCAGGGGTGTCTGGAGCAGGGCTCTGTGAACCTGAACCCCGGGAGGACAGAGGGCGTGGGGCTGGGATGTCCCCTGGCAGCGCTCGCAGGTGTCCGGGACGTGTGGCTGGGGTCCCTGCTGGGAACTCCAGGCTCCTGCAGGAAGGGGAGGGGAGGGCCTGGCAGGCGGCCCAGAGGGAGGTGGGAGCGTCAGTGCTGGCCTGGGGACCACAGGGTGATTGGCACGTGGGGCGGTGGCCGGCCTGGTGGTCTAGTGGCCGCTGCCGCTGGAGTCGGGGCGAGGCTGGCTCGTGGCGAGGTATTTGGCTCTCATGCTGGACGTGTACTGCGGGGAGACAGGGAGGCGTCGGTGAGCAGGGGGTGGGCACAGCCTCAGCCAGCTGCAAGCACTCCTGGGGGCAGGGCGCGTGGCTGGCAGCCCTGGGGGAGGGTTTGGGAGGGGCCAGCTGGCCCAGTGCAGGGACTGAAAGCCCTGAGGGCCTGTCCCAATGAGATAAGCACCCTGCCCACCCAGAAAAGCCAGAGTTCAAAGGCCCCCCAAGCCCAGGACCTGAAGGCCACACACAGGCCTTCCTCCCGCTGTGGGGTGCTGTGCAAGGATGGGGGTGGGGCATGTTCCAGGAAGAGTCAGGTGGTCCACAAGGACTCAGAGCCTATCACCCCGGAAAAGGAGGGCCCCTGAAGCTGCGTGGGGCCCTCAGGTTGAGACGATGCTGCAGCCACTTAGCTGGGGGACCAGCTGTGGGCTCCTCCCAGGTCCCAGATGCAGGGACAGGCAAGTGGGGGAGGGGAGGGCTGCACATCTCACTGAACTCCTCCAACCTGGGCACAAGGGCTTTGCTCAGTGCACATGTGTGTGTGGGACTTGTGTGTGAGTACACGTGTGTGCCCACGAACACATGTGGAGGAGGCGAGTGCTATGGTCCATGTGCAAAGGGTCCCACACCCATAGGGATGGGGACAAAGGCCGAGACCTGTGCCACAGGTCGGCAGCGGTCAGGGAGTCTGGCAGACTGACCCCCCAGCCACATGCTAGACCCCCCTACGGTCCCCTGTCCTTGAGAGCCCTCCCGGAACTCCTGGTGGGGAGGGTCTGTCCTGCCCACTGGGGGCCGGGAAGGACACAGGAGGAGCAGCAGCGGGCACCAGGGGCCGTGGCATTCCGTGGACATGCGGAGGGGGCAGGGGCAGCAGCCCAGACCGCTGAGGGAGCCCATGCAGGTGCACAGCACTATGGGGATGGCCGGGCGCAGCCCACACGCTCATCGGCGCCACCTGTGTGCACTTCTGGACATGCAGGGCCGTGCCGCAAGGGCCAGGCTCGCCGGGGGCCTGGACAGACGGTCTCCTGGCTGGGAGGTGACTAGGGCAGCTGCGGCTGCCTGCAGCTGGGCTGGGGGGCAGGTCTTGCTGCCCCTGATGTGGGGGTGACGGCCCAGGGCCGGCCCCGGAGGTCTCTGTGGCTGTGCTGGAAGCCACGAGGCTCACAGGCCTGTGCCCGCCCCGTAGCACCGACTGGGGTGGCCCCGGGGCACCTCTGTTGGGCCCTGGCCAGCCCTGCTGCGGGCAGCAGTGAGCAGAGGGCGTGAGGTGAGGAGGCGAGGCAGGCAGGCACTGCACAGGGCAGGGGCCAGGTGGGTCAGTACCTGTCACTCTGAGGGCACGGCCACCACCGCGCTCGGGCACTGTCCAGGGGCTTAAACTGCCAGCCCGTGTGGCTGCCAGAGTCCAGGGCAGCCAGATACCGCTAGGAGGGCCCAGGGTGGGAGGGGTGCAGGAGAGAGAGAAAGAGAGAGTGGCCTCAACGCCAGGGTGAGGGCCCAGCCGGGGGCGGCTGTGGGGGCTGGAGCACAGTGCAGGCTGGGTGATAGCCGGGGAGCCCATGGCACCCCGGGTCCAGGAGGTCCCGGCCGGCTCTGCTGCAGGGCACCGTGGGGCAACTGCACACCAGAGCACTTGTTCTGAAGCAAGGTGACCTTCAGCCCCTTTGGCCAACCTGTCCTTTGCAGCCCACCGCCTACAGGAGGCCCTCCTGGGGCCCTGGCTCTCTGTACGCTCCTTCTCTTTGGCACGAAAACGCTCTGTCCCCCCTTCCCCATGCTTCAGCCCTGATGGCTGAGGGGACACCAGGCCAGTCTGGAGCAGCCAGGGGCCAAGGCCTGGGTTCAGCTCAAGGTGCCGGAAGAAGAAAAAGAGGAGGAAGTAAGTCGGCTGGAAAGAAGCAGCCAGGGACCCTCGGGGCTGAACTAGTGGCCAGGCCACTGGCCTCTGCTGTCCACTCAGGCCCCAGGGTACCTCAAGGCCAGCTTGCAAGCCCACCCAGCCCCATTGACCCGGCTGCAGGTTCACAGAGGACCACAGCAGACCACCCAGGAGGCAGGGTGACGCCCCCGCCCACCCTCCAGCCCTGACTTACTGAGGGTGGTGGGGACTCTCGCCCAATGAGGGGGGTGTTCTCACAGCGGGGGTTCTGGAAATTGGCATTCTGGCTCCTGAGGAGCAAGGAGAGAGGGGCTGTGAATGGTCATGGTCTGTGGAGGCCCCAGGTCTGGAGCCAGGCAAACCCTGTGTCACCCTGCTCTGCCCGGCACCCTAACCACAGCCCCGGCAGGGGCGGTGCACCCTGGGCCTTCTCACTGTCCCTGGGTGCTACCTCCTGGCAAGCACCCGGCACAGTAACCCCGGGCTCAGAGTGGGCCCAAGGGTGTCCGCCTCAGCCCCACCAGGGCCTGCCCTCACCTGGCCGCCTGTCCACCTCGTGCCCGGCCTTGGCCCTGGGCCACAGCATCCCGACAACCAGGTAGACACAGACCCTGCGTCTGACCCAGTGGCCTCCCTGTGGCCTCCACCCAGGTTTGCCTGGGCACAGAAGGCCAAGCCCACCCCACACCCTGGTGGCCCCTGCAGGGGGCAGGCCGAAACCTAACATGGCCCCACTGTGGGATGGTCCCTTCTCCCCTCGCGTGGCCTCCTGTGGGCCTCTGCCCAGCAGCCCCCCCGTCTCTGGCTCTGCCCCTTTCTCCAACACCCTGTCCTGCTCACCGCACGGGCTAGGCCTGCCCTCTCAGCCGTGGCCGGGCAGGTGTGCCGGTGGCCGCACAGAGCTCCTGCAGCCGGCCCGGCTTGGCTCCGCCTGCCCCTGCCGGGCTGCCCCAGCCTCCATGGGACTCACATGTACTCGGTGACCGGGGCGTTGCTGACGGTGTGGGCCGCGGCTGGGATGCTGGCCTCGCTGCCGTAGCTGCTACCGCAGCTGTACAGGCTGGGCATGTGGACGCGGTAGAGGCTGTCATGCGCCTGCCGTGGCCCCGGGCCGGCCTCCTCCTCCCCGTCCTCGTCTGGGCCTCTGTGGGGAGCAGCACCAGGCACAAGATCAGGCCCTGAATTCACCGTCAGCACCACCATCACCACCACCATCCTCATCATCATCACCGCCTCCATCGGCAGCAGCGGCATCTCCATCACATCGGAGAACAATGAAGTACAAATGCAGACGAAGGGAAGAGCTGTCACTCAGGACTCAGGTCAGCCGGGCCGCGGGAGCCACAGCCACCTGGGGCCCTCCCCAGCCAGCCAGCTGCTCTACCCCACCACAGCCCTGCACACCCGCACAGGGTCGGGGGACGGACGAGGTGCCGTGAGACCAGCCGGAGGCGCGGAGGGTGTGGGCAGGGAGCCAGCCCCACAAGAGGGGCTTCTCCCTGCTGGGAGCTCCTGAGGCTCAGTGTCCCGCCTGTGACACGGGACTCCTCTAGGACCTGCCAGCTTCACAGAGATTGCAGGGCTTGGTGGCAGGGACCAGGAAGGGGGTGTCCGGAAGGCAGGTCCCCAAAGCACCCAGCACACCATGGCCGGGGAAGCTCGAGGGCGTCTCCGAGCCCCTCACCTCCTCTGCTGCCAGGTGTGTGGGACGCTGCAGACAATGGAGCTGAACATGAGGGCGGTGACGAAGGAGAACAGCGCCAGGTAGATGAGGCCCTCAACGCCATCATAGCAGAAGCCAGTCAAGGCCTGCACGTAGTCCTGAGTCCGGCAGGGACGGAGATGGCAGGGCCCACAGGGACGGGAAGAGGGGGGACGGCAGGGTGAGACGGACATGCTGGGGTTGCAGCCCAGCTCACAGAAGTCTGGACCGTCCCTCGCTCCAGCCTGGAGGCTGGGCTGGGTCCCCACCACGGCCCCCGGCCGCCGCCCTCTCTCCGCCGCAGCCCCAGCCCTGGAAGCCGGTCTCACCAGGTGCAGGCTGCGGCAGTCCACCAGGGCCGTGAGGTGCTGCAGGTTCACCTCTGTGCCGTTCAGCACCTCCTGGACACGAAGCAGAGGATCCTGGGGACACACACCACGGCAGGTCGGCACCAGGTTGGTGCCTGGGACTCTCCCAGGTCTCCGTCCCCCCACCCTGCCATCTCCACTCAGGCCTTGAGGATCCCCAGCTTTTACGAACAGCACCCCCAGAGTCTGGCCTGGCTTCAGGGGGACAGCTGAGAACATGAGGTGAGAGGAGAACAGCAGGACCCACAAATGCCTGTCCAGTAGACACCACTATGTGGTCCCTTCATCGTCACAGAAGGGACAGATGTACCCTCGTGTCTCCTGACACGGGGCCTGGGTCTTTTTTTATCCTCACCTGAAGACACTGTTTTCATTCCTTTTTTTTTAAGAGAGAGAGGGAGGGAGGGAGGGAGGGAGGGAGGGAGGGAGGAATGCAGAGAAACGCCTATGTGAGAGGCACTGGCCACCTCCCGTACGTACCCCGACGGGGGATCGAACTCAAAACCCAGGCACATATCCCAACTGGAAACTGAAACTGAACCCACAACCCTTTGGTGACAGGACTATTATCCCACCAACTGAGCCACACCAGCCAGGGCGGGCCTGGTTCTTCTAAACGCCATATTTTAAGAAATAGCTAAAGACAAAGGAAAATTTCCATGACTTTTAAAGCGACAGAAGATTCCTGAAAACACTGTGTAGAGTGAGCCCGATCACGGGTGTTTGTGTCGTGTGTGTTCATGTGTGCGTGTTGTTGGGTGTGTCTACGCCCTGTGTGTTCACATGTCCGTGTTGTTGGGTGTGTGTTCACCGTGTGTGCCCGGGCACACGGACACATCCACCTACATCTCCAAGGAAAGAAGCCGAGCAGACACACCCCAGGGGTGAAGTGGTCCCTCTGGATGAGCCACTGGACCTGACCTACCGTGGTGCGGTTTCTAAGGACCCCTTGCAACCTGAACTGGGTCTTGGAACGTGACTTACTGCTATGGCCTGACTGTTGCCCCCCCAGAACCCGCCTGCTGAAGCCCTCACGCCAGCTCCTCGGCACGCACCCGTAGGTGGAAGAAGGCTCTGTGAGGACATGATGGAGGTAAAATATGGCCATGTGGGTGGGGCCCTAAGCTGGTCTCACTGGGGCCCCCGGGGGAAGAGATCGGGACATAGGACACAGGGAGGAGACAGCCAGCCAGCCACATGCCCGGGAGAGAGGCCTCAGGGAGCCTGCCCTGTCCACCCCTGCGTCTCTGACTTCCAGCCACCAAGCATGAGAGACATATGCCTAAGCCACCCATGTGGCACTGTGAGGCACCCAAGCTGCCAACACACCTACCTGCCCACTCAGGCTGCAAAGCACCAAGGGTGCCCTGGCAGAAATGAGAAATGAAAGGGAGTAACATTAACCTAGAGCACGGGGCAGTGCGTGGGCCTCCAGGGGGCCTGGCGGCGGCAGTGGCAGTAACAGTGCCGTGTGTGCATGTGGGAGAGAGAGAGACGCCCAGCATCGGGGCGCGCACAGTCCCTGCCGCAGGTCCCCAGGACGCCCCCAGGGGGCGCACCTGCGCAGGAATCACAGCCAGGCAGGTCTTCATTCTGCTCTTGCACCTGCTCCCAGTCTCCCTATTCTTTTAATATAAGAAGTTTGTGCAACTTTTAAAATGTAGGGTAGAGCCCTGGCTGGTGTGTCTCAGTGGATTGAGTACCGGTCTGTGAACCAAAGGGTCACAGGTTCAATTCCCAGTCAGGGCACAGGCCTGGGTTGCAGGCCATGTCTCCAGTAGGGGGCATGTGATAGGCAACCACACGCTGATATTTCTCTCCCTCTCTTCTTCCCTTCTCCTCTCTCTAAAACTAAAGAAATAAAATCTTAAAAAAAAAACAAAACCCAAAGGGCAGAATTTTTTAAAGAAGGCACCAAACATCCCCAGAGACACAGAGGGAAGGATGGAGGAGAGGGACAGAGGAACCTGTGTGGAAGAATGGGCAGGAGGCCCCTGCGCAGTGGCACCACCTGGCCACCTCGTGCCCGCCCCTCACCTTGGTGGCCGGGGCCTCCCGGGGCGCGGTCTTCAGCAGCTCGGCCACGATGTCCTGCATCTCCACCAGCGCCTTGTGGCTGCCCGACAGCTTCTGCTCCACAGAAAGGCCAGCTGAGGGTGGTGAGGCCAGCAGCCCACTATGCCCCCCCAGGCCCTGCCTCACACAGGGCATCCTGGCCCCCAGGCACCACACACCCAGAGGATGCAGACTGTTGGAGGTGCAGGGTCTTTCAAGCAGATAGATGGTCCTCAGGACCCCGAGGGCCAGGCAGCCACGGGGAGCGACGGGCAGCAAGCGGGCTGAGGGTTTCCCTCCGAACCCACCATGGCCACACCTGCCCACTTATTCTGGAGTCGGCACAGGACCTCCGCACTGCGAGGTGCCCCTGGGCTCCTCCGTGCCCACCCACTGGCTTTGCCTTGCAGGGCTGGCCAAGGGCAGCCCAGGAAATGAGAGGGGGCCCCAGGGATTTGGGGGGCACGGGGGCACCAGGGCCGTAACCCAGGGGGGCAGTCAGTGACCTGAATGTGGTGTCTCCCCACCATTCTGTGCCCTGACAGTGGGCCTAAGGGGCTGTGGACACCCCAGATGAGGGGCCAGGGCCTGTGGGGGGCTTCTACCTGGGCCCCTCCCTGCGACCCAGGGGCCGGAGCAGCCCGAGCTCTCACCTGCTGGAAGGGGTTGGAGGCGCGGGGCGAGCAGGCCAGGTAGTACTGCAGGATGTCTGCGGAGAGAGGGCAGCAAGCGTGAGCGAGGCTGTGCGTGCTCCCACAGGCACACGTGTGCACACACCTGTGTGTCCACATGCACCTACATGGCACATGTGTGGGCCTGCATGTGCCCACCTGTGTGGGTATGTGCACATCTGTATGCACATGTGCACACAGGCCACGTGGGTGTGTCTGTGTGCCTGCCTGTGTGCACATGTGTGTGTCTACGGTCACATGTGGGGTGGACTTGGCCCCCAGGGAGCTGGGCCGGGCCCAGGCCCTTCTTCTCTGTGTCCCCACCGTGGGGAACAACTCTCTCAGGGGGCAGCCTCCTACCTGCCCTCCCTTGTCAGCAGCAGATGGGGTACTCAGGGGGGCCGGGGGTGGTTGCAGGGTCAGAAGACCCCCAGGAAGCACCCCACTCATGGGCCGCCTGGGCAGAACACCCTGAGTGAGGCTGGGGTGTCGTCTCCAAGAGAAGGAGGTGCGGCCCGGAGGGCCCGGGCAGGACACAGCTGTCCTGTCTGTCCCCACCCACTGAAACAGGGTCAGTTCAGCCCCCAGCATCTAAAGACAGGGATCCACTCACAGTTCTGACTCTGGAAACCCTAGGAGACCCTGACCACCTGCCCCCTGCCCTCCTTGCTCTCTGGCCTCTGGGTCCCCCCGGGAGGTCAGAGACCCCCCCTGAATAGGATACTAGCTTTGCAGCTCCACACGGCTTCCTTGCTGGGGGCCCTTGGGGGCCCAGAGCACGATGAGCACGGGGACAGGGGCCAGAGGGTGGGGCAGGGCTGGCCCCACCCACACCCAGCCCCTCAGGTCTGGGGCCCCTCCAAGCCCGTGTGGAAACATCACGAAGACCCCACTTCACGTCAGCCGCTGTAAACGGGGCTGGTGTGCGGGCCTCACGCAGGACCAGTAAGGGCCTGGGGGGGCAGAGCCGAGGGCACCAAGGCCTGGGACAATGGCGGGGACAATCATCTCCAGCCTGGCCAGCCCCTGGCACAGCAGGCTCCCCTGCCTCCACGGTGCAGCTCCTCGGGCTTAGGTGGAAATGATTCCTTAACAAAATGGGCTAAACCCAGCCCCATGTGCTCGCCCCTGGGGCTTTCTTGGGCAAAGTGGGGGACAGTCCGCTGAGGGCTGGTCAGCACCCTTGCGCCCTGTACTGCACTCAGCGCACAGCCTGGAGCCACCCGCCTCCCTCTACACCCGAACTTCTGGGGAAGTCCCGTCAGCTCCGCCTGCCCTCTGGCCTGGCCACTTCGCTGTCCTCTTCTCTCGCCGGTGGGCTCAAGCCGTCCCGTCTCCTGCCAGCTCCCTCCTTGACCCCCTGCTGCTCCAACCGCCCAGAGAAGCTTGAGGAAGACACTCGCTCCCCACACATCTCCCCCGCTCCCCACCCGTGAAGTCCAAAGTCCTGAGCACCCCAGGCCCTGATGCCTCCCACCCTCTCCTCTTGCCACAGGTGTTTCCTGCCTCACCAACACCCCTGTGTGTCTCTGCCTCAGGGCCTTTACACACGGGGCACAGCCCTCTCTATTCTCACTCAATGCCCATCTTTGGCAGCTGCCCTGGCTGCTTGCTCTAAGCAGCCGTTTGTCACCTCTCCCCACCACTTGCACCCGTCCTTGCCCCCCATGTCATCTGCCCCTCCCGTCATTGGCGGCCTCCCCATGACCCTGACCCTGGTGCCCCGCCTGGGTGCCTCGGCCTCACTCAGCAGGGCCTGCGCAGCCCAGCCACAGGCGTGCACACTCACCCCCACTCAGCACCGAGTGCTCCTCCACCATCCTGGTCACATAGGTGTCGGGGTCCACACAGAAGTCGCTGGAACCCTGGAATGGATGCGGGCAAGGAAGACGGGGCAACCAAGCTGGGCTCCCCCGCCTCTCAGGGGTGGAGCCTGAGCCCCCAGGGTCTACTTTCACTGGGGAAGGTACCCTTCGAAGGGTGGGAGGAGGGATGGCAGGACAGGCTGTGTGCCCCAGGGCAGGGCCCACCCTCGGACCCTCGGTGTCCCATGGGAGTCAGGAGGGGCAAGGACTGAGGCTCCCTCCCCACCCCCATGACAGGCCCTGCTGACAAGGACACCCTCCCCAGCTGCCACTCACCACAGACGCAGCCAGCTCCACGCCCAGTGCACCCCAGCTGATGACCAGGGCCAGGACGCCCAGCAGGCAGACCCTTGGGACAACGAGAGGCAGTCAGCACCCCCAGATGAGGTGCGGAGGGGAGACGGCGGGAGTCGTGCCACCAGGCAGGCTGCAGGCCAGCTCCCACTGCACAGGTGCGGCTCTGCCCACACAGGGCCTATGGCTCTCCCCTCACCCCCGGGGCAAACCCTGAGCTTGACCCACCAATGGGGGAGGGGAGGCCAGGACACAGACTCACCCAACCAGGATGCCCTTGGAGCTGCGGATGAGACCCACCAGCACCAGCAGGCAGATGGCAACGTCGAGCAGAAGCAGGCCCAAGTAGCCCAGCCACCTGCGGGCACAGGGCATGTGGGCCCCGGGGGGCTGGGGGAGGGTGCAGGTGCTGGGGCAGGTCAGGTGTCTGGACTCCGGCCGGCAGAGTCAAGGCAACAGCTGGGGACCCAGAGGGGCACCCATGGGTGGTTCTGGGCTGTTTGGGCTGGAATCAGTCCCAGTGACTGCTGGAGGCCCAGACCCACCCACCCATAGAACCTCAGGCACTGGGCGCTGGCAGCCAGCTGGCCCTTGGGAGGTAAAACCTAACCCCGGGGCAGCAAGGCCAGGTGGGGCAGACCATAAGGAGCATACAGTACCTGTACCAGTCATAGAGGTCCACCTGCTCGGCTAGCATCTCCAGGGACACGGCCAGGTTCCTCCAGAACGGGATGGCAGCTGTGTAGCCCAGCAGTGCGTCCAGCAGCCCCTGCAGCCGCTGCACCGCCCGCAGGGGCTCAGGCCGTGTGGCCAGCTGCCGCTCCAGGCTCTGCAGACTGGGCTCCGCCGTGCGGTTCAGGGCGGCGGCCGTGTCCCACACCTGCGCCAGGCAGGCGGGTGAGCCGGCGCTCGACCACCCCACACATGCCCACCCCTCGGTCGCTCCACCCGGCCTCTTCCCAGTAGCTCAGGCACACGCACAGGCATGGAGTTTAGCAGCGGGAGAGCCCCCTGCCATTTCGGCAGCCACTCACACGGTCCTGGACCCCTGCCACCGTTCGGTTCGCGTGGCGGAGCGAGTAAGTGGCCCGATGGACGCCGTCGCTGGTCTCCCCGTTGCCATAGAACCCCACGGCAATGCCGGCGCTAGGACAGGGCGAAGAGCAGTGAGGACGCAGCCATTAGGCCGTGGCCCCGCCCCCGCCAACAGGCCAGGCCCCGCCCCGTCCCACTCACCTACACACCAGCGTGGCGATGATGACGCACCAGGCGGTGCAGCAGCAGTCAGCGTCCAGGTGCTCCTCGCTCTTGCGCTGGCGGCAGCACAGCCAGAAGGAGTAGAAGAGCAGGAAGAGGAGGTCCAGGGCCAGGCAGGCCAGCGCGGCGGCGCCCAGCAGCAGAAGGGCCTGTGGGCGGGGCAGCGGCGCTGGAGGTGGGGTCCCAGATCAGCACGTCCCACCTGAGCTCCAGAATGAGGCACTGGGCACTCACTCCCAAAGAGCCCTCCCCACCTCTGGGGTCATGGCTCCCTGACACCTGCGTGCGGTGCCTGTGGTCACCCAGAGTCTGGTCCTCAACCCTGCACCACGACACACCAGGACCCAACCCAAGCTCCACTGTGTGGGGCCAGGAGGGGGAGGCTACATGGTCTACTTCTCTACCTGCCCCGGGCCCCTCCCCATGGGAGCTGTCACCTCCTGGGCTCCAGAGCCCAAGGTGGGATATGTTTGAGCAGGGTTCTCCCTTCGAGGGGATGCATGGGGTGTGGCCTTGGAGCAGAGGTAGGCTCCACCCCAGTAGAGGCCCTGCTGGGGCTGTTGGCAGTGGAGCCCCCATCCTCACCATTGTGCTCAGGCTGCCCTGGGCCTGGCCACCTTCCCAGGACCCTTAGCCGCCGAAGCCTGAAGGGCCTAGAACTCCCCGCCATGTCCGGGGAGGAACCCATCCCTGAGGCTGGCCTCCCCCCCCACCCCGCCCCAGCGGGCGCTCATAGGGTGGAGAGTCAGACCTAGCACAGGGCCTCCCTTGGTGAGACAGGGCACCAGCCCAGCCCCAGGTCAGTTTGCTTCACCCCATTTCATAGATAAACGGCTCCGGAGGAGGCATGGAGGAAGGGGGCACGTGCCCGCGCCACTGGCCCTCTGGGACCCTCAGCACAGGCTTTAGGGTGGGGGATAGAGGGGCCACGTGCACCTCTTGGGAGCAGCACAGGAAGTACACTCGAAGGTCGACATGTGGAGGTGCCCACCCCAAGGGCCCATCGCAGTTGTGGTGGGACCACCAGCACCTTTCATCTGCCCTCACTGGCCCCAAGGCCTGGACCCCAGGAGGACCCTCAAACAGCCCCCTCCCCATGTCTGAGCACTCAGCAACCCAGCCTTCCGTCGGCCTGAGCTGGGGAGCTGCTGGGGGTGGAACACCGGGGCCTAGTGCCCCTCCGGGCTCCCTGGGACAACAGGCTGGGCCAGAGGCACTGTGACCACATCTCAGCTCCACCCCACCCCCCGCCGCCCCCCCACCCAGCAGCTCTCTCCCTGGAGACGGTTGCCAGGCAGTGTGGGAGGAAGGCATCCTCCAGGGGAAGGCCAGGGCACCACTGGGAGGCTGCAGTCACACGCTGCTCCAGCCCTTCCCACTGGCTGCCCCGCGCTGCTCACTAAGCAATCTGGGCCCGGGTTTGCACCAACAGGAGAGCTGACTGCCTCGGCTCACCAGTGGTGGGGCTAGGGAGCAGGCCTCATGGGGCTGGCACCAGAGCCACCTCTCAGCCCAAGGCTCCCTCGAGGTCCTGAGACAAGGGCCAGGACCCAGTTGTGGTGGGGGACACGTGTACCTTAAGGGGCTTGGCATCTGGCACCAGCTCTACCCTACCCAACACTGCCCAACTTGGGGAGTCAATAAACATCAAGGTACTTGGAAGAGCGCCCTCTTGTGGGTTCCCTGGGTCTGCGTGCATGTGCACAGGCTGGACTCCGACCAGGGGTGCCACAGGGCCTCTCTGACCTGTCCCCACAGATCAGAAGCAAAGTGCGGCACAGTCCACCACCCGGGGCCTTGGCTCCAGGGAATATCTGCACTTCCAGAACCAAAGCCACCTGCCAGCCCCCAGTCTGTCACCAGTCCTTGCCACTGCGGCTCCTCCCCAACCCCTCCATCAGGCCCCCCACATCCCTCCCTAGAAACCTGCACCCCCTGAGTCCCCTTCAAAGCCCTGCCTGCCCAGGATCCAGGTTCCGTGGGCCCTCCTGGGCAAGGGGGTGAGGTCGGGGCACAGGGCTTGGAGTTCAGCCTGGCGGTGAGCAGTTCCCACCGACCTGTGCCAGGAGGCAGAGAGCTCACCCATCTGGATCAGGCGCCTTGGTGGCGCCAGGACCACCCACTCCCATTGACCAGATGAGAAAGCTGAGGCAAGATAAGCATCACAGGCCCAGCTGGCCCCTAGTGCCTGGGGCGAGGTAAGCTGGGAGGCGCCAGGGCCCGGCCTGGAGGTGGGCGGGTGAGCAGTGCTCCTGAACCTTCTTCTACAGCTTTGAATGGGTTAGTTTTCTGTTGCTGGATTCTTTTTGTTGGTTTGTTTTTCTATTTTTTTTAAAAAGCCACGAACATGTACTACCTTTATAATTAAAACACAAAACCAGAAACCTGGGAGCAGCTCTCTCCAGCTGGGCGTGGGCAGCTGCTGGCCTGAGCCCAGCTCGTCCACGTGCAGTCCTGTTCGGCCTCCGGTCAGCCCTCTGGCTGTGCAAGAGGGGATGGGCGCTTCCCGCCCCCGCCCCCCATCCCCGGGCTCTCACACGGGCGAAGGGCCCTGGCAGCCATGAGGCCAAGTTTGGGCCCCTCTCAGTTTGCGGTGCTATGCCATGGCCCTTGCCAGAGCCCTGTGCCCAGGAGCTCAGATCAAGAGGAGAGACTCCCTGGGTGTCCCCAGCAGGAGGCTGAGAACTGCCTTGCTCACGGCTGGACAGAGGCCCTGGGGAGGGCCTCCTGCCAGGCTCCCACCCCGGGGTGCCCAGCTCCCAGGGAGTCCCAGGGAGTGCCACCGTTCAGCTGCTACTCTGCCTGGTTCTCCATGGGGCCTTGAGCCGGCTACTTTAAACTCTGTGCCTCAGTTTCTCCATGTGTAAAATGAAGGCAGGCACACACATCACTCTCCTGGATGGTTGCCTAGATTAGATGAGTGGCTGTGTGCGGAAGCCTGGAGCAGCCCCTCCCCAAGGAGCCTCTGGAAGGAGTCAGGGGCCTCGGGCATGCGGCCTGGGTGGGGGGCAGATGGCTGGTGGGGGCCCTGCTGCTGGCGGCCCAGCCCAGGGCTGCTCACAGGCAAGGTGAGCGTGTGCATATCCACACCCACATGTTCATACATGCATGCTCACACATCCACACACATGCACACCCACCACCATGCATTCACATACATGTTCACACCCACACATGCACAGCACACAAATTTACACCCACACATACCCACGTTCACACATGTACATGAAGGGGCTGCCCCATGAGCTCCCCAGCAGTGGCTACAAACTTCCAGGGGTTGTGGGTGGTGGGTGGAGGGGCCCCAAGCCCAGGGCACCAGACACTCGCCAGAGACTGGAAGGGGCACAAGGGGCCGGCAGCCTCACACACAGGACACTCCCAGGCAGCCCTGCCTCGGGGAGCCGAGTCTGGGTGGGGCCGGTACCCCCAGGCCAGGCCCTTGGGGATGACGATGGGACCTGGGATCACAGCATGGCACCCAAGGGCATGCGCACCTCAAGCCCAGGAGGCAGTGGCAGGTGGAGGCCCCGGGGCCCGACATGGCCTCCACAGCCCTGCACACAGGGCGCAGCCATCCTCTGCTTCCAGGACAGGAGCCCACTTCGGGTGTCCGTCCGCACACACCTCCTCCATGGGGCGCCAGAAAGGCCTCCACAGGCTCATTCATTGGCAGGGGTGGTGCTCTGTGGGCCCAAGGCCTGGCACAGAGTGGGTGCTCAGGAACACGGGGGCCCCTGACCCCCACCCCAAGCTCCAAGAGGCTGGGCCCCTTCCTCTCTGTCACGACCAGGATGGCTCCTTCCCAAGGAACGTTAAATGGCAACCCCACTGGGTGGGCTGCAGGCTCTGTGCCAGGACAGCCTTGCAGGGCCCACACAGGGAGGCAACAGCGACCTTCCGGTCACACGGGGGAGCCCAGGTTGGGGGCGCCGGCACTGGGAGGCAGCATCAGGCTGGGAGGCCGCCTCCTCCAGCCCCCAGGCCCAGTGCCACACCTGACCTCTGCCCCAGTCTCCGGAGCACGGGCTCCCAGGGACCCGGCTTCCGCAGGCATTCCCATGGGCCCACCTCCCCTTCCCTCCGGCTGGCGTCTGGGCTTCTGCCTGGGCCCATTCCATTCAGAAAGAGAATGGGAACTGTCTGATCAGCATCTGGGCTCTGACCAAACGGAATTTTCCGTCTGTGACGGAAGGGATGTCAGCACTCGGTGGGGCAAGGCGAGATGCTTAGGCCCACGTCCCGACTGCCGGCCCCGGCGCTGGCAACCAGCCACCTCAAGCCCCAGGAGTGTACTGGGCTCAGTCAGGGCAGAGTGGTGAGGACCCAGGGCCCCCAGCCCCCGACTCCTGGGAAGCCTTCCTGGCCTCCCGGGTCATTTCTCAGCCCTGAATGCCCACCCGTCCTCCTCCAGGGCCCTGCAGCCCCTGCCACAGAGCGTGCCCAGCAGAATGCCCTGGCCTGTGCCCATGCAACCCCCTCTGGTGCCCGGAGACCCCCCGAAGCCCACCCACTTGGGAAGCACTGAAGAGCTGGAGCTGGAGCTCGGAAGCCTCTCTCCACCCCAGCCCAGGCCCAGGCCCAGGCTGGTCAGGCAATCTGACAAGCCCCGGCCCCCAGCAGGTCCTCTCAGCCTGGGCAGGGAGACGCGAGGGGGGGGGCACCCTAAAGGGGTGGGGGGATTCCTGGCTCGGCCCCAGCCTTGCCGGCATTCTGACTGCAAGGGGCCTAGGCCCCAGGCCCACCCCACAAGGGCTGTGGCCAGCCACCCAATCTGCCTAAAAGCTTCACAGCGGGAGGCTCAGCTCCACCCCACAGATGGGAGAACGAGAGGGATTTGTGGGCCTCCTGCCAGTTCCTGCCACGCCTCCTCTCCATCCCCTGCTGGCCGCCCCGACTGAGGCCGGTCAGTGCACGAGTGTGCGCAACGGCAGGCTCAGCGTGGCCACGCAGGCCACCCCTACATGCCCCAGGCCACCAGGCTGGGGGGCGCCACGAGTGACCTGACCAACACCCTGCTGCCTGGGCTCAGCAGCTTGACCCCATTGCCCGCCTCACTGTGGAAGTCACCGGGATTTCCTCGAGGGCACACAGCTGGCAGGGAGGAGGCAGGATCCCCGCCCAGTGGAGCAGCAGCCCAGCCAGGCTGGGA